CTTTACACTTTCCTTTCTTCTTTCCTTACTTCCTCTTTCCCTCCTTCCCTCCTTCTCTTCCTTCCTTCCTTCCTCCCTTCTACCCTCCCTCCCTCCCTCCCTTCTTTCCTTCCTTACACTCTTTCCTTTCTTCTTTCTTTACTTCCTCTTTCCCTCCTTCCTTCCTTCCTCTCTTCTACCCTCCCTCCCTTCTTTCTTTCTTTACACTTTCCTTTCTTCTTTCCTCTCTTCCTCCTTCCCTCCTTCCCTCTTCTCCCTTCCTTCTCTTCCTTCCTTCCTTCCTTCCTCCATCCCTCCCTTTTTACCTCCCTTCCTGCTTCTCAAATGAGGGCGAGGGGGAAGGATCGCAGTTTTTGGAACAGTGCTTGATGTGGAAAGAAGGAAAACAAAGAATCAGGTGGGAATGAATACAAAAGGTATGCCTTGAGACCAGCACTTATTCTGCTCACAACAAATCATTGTTTTAGCCCAGATGGTGACAATTTGCTTTCAGATTAGACACGCAGGAACATCAATGGCTGTTTATAGAAAAGGACAACTTGCAGAGTTTATTGATACAGAAGATATTCTTTATTATTATTAGTATTATTATATATTTCTTCATAGTGCATATTTCTAGGTAAACTTAAATAAGACTTTGAAACACAGTATTTATAGTGCACAGCTTGAAAAACAAAACCAGACATAACCCATTTATCTTCAAGGATCCACAGGACAAGGAGACACGGGGGGAGGGGGAGACAAATATTTTGATACTCAAAAACGTGACCGAACATCCTGGATATAGTCAACCAGTGCAAGCATCACACTTAATGTCCATAAACGAGAAAGAAAAGAAGCCGTTTCTGGTTATATACTTTGGAAAGGAGGTTTCCGCATCTTGAGGAGGGAGGCTGCGATGGTAAGGGTGAGATATAATAAAACGCTATTTTCAGACACCCCAAAATATCAATTGGGATGGATTGATAAAAGAGAAGTGTTGTTGGACCATTGGCAGAGAACCAAAGTCAACAGAAGAAAGTGTGAATTGAAGACACTTGGCTACACCATGCTCAGATTGCATTTTTAGTGGTGTGTGAGTCTCTTAATCACCTCCGAATTTATGTTTATTTGAAACGAAATCAGAGGCTATTGCAAGAAAAATCTTTGCTTCTGCAAACTCTTTTTTTTTTACCCCATTTATCCTGATTTCCACCTCCTACATTCATGTCTCTTTTTTATTCCCAGCAAATTACTTCCAAATCTCACCCTCCGCCAAGGTGAAAATTGACAGTGTCCTTCTTCTTAAAACAAAGAATTTTATTTCTTTATACCGATTTGAGAAATGAAGGTTGGGCTCCTGTGGTTTCGTTCATGGAGAATCTCAGCCTGACGTGTTTTGCGCAATGTAGGTGGAAAGTAGACCAGAATGGCAGTTTAAATTCTCTCCACCCATTTTAGGACTACGAACAATTTTCGACAATAAAACTTACACAGAAAAATACTTTTTTTCTTCTTCTTGAGATTATAGCATACAATCACACAAGACTATCTATCTGGTTAAGGCAGCTTTGGAAAACATTGCACAGTGCTGTCTATACAAACAGGTTATTCTCCTTTTATAACACTACACAAAGAGGCAAAATCCAGCCCATCCTTCCAAACCGAATTGACCGCCGACCGGATTCAATTTAGAAAGAAGGGACAGATTTTGATTGGAACACGTTTTTCATTTGTTGATTTTACAATCTACATTTTCCCACCCTTTTATGAAAAAGAAAGCAGAAAACAGGACTTTTAAAAGATTGATATACACAGACGTACCCTTACTTTCCCTTTGGTTATTAAAGAAAAAAAAAAGGACATTACAAATTAAGCGAAACCCAAAGAAATGCGAAAGATAAAGCTCTCACTGTAAGGCAACCTTGAAAAATGTCTACTGAGATAGATGGAGGAAAGAAATTTTTTTTAATACAGAGTTTCACCAGTGATAAACTTCCTCAAGGCATCCAGCAATATGTCTCCGTTGGAAAGGGACTTCGGCTAGAAGTTCAGTTCTAGACTAGAACTGAAGACCACAGTAAGTTCAAAACAACTTGTAATAAGGTTGTGAATTTTTTTCCCATGCTGAAACAACGTTGAATTAGAGGAAGGGGTTTTTGTGAACATTTTGTCCCGTTTTGAGAAAATGAAGTGGACTTGGAGAAGGTTGACTTGGTAGGACTTTGCATTCCTTCCTACAATTTAATTTGATCAAGAGAGAAGCAACCAAGAATGAAGAAGAAATTTTCTGACCAGTGAGAACGATTAATCAGTGGAACGACTTGCTTCCAGAAGTTGTGGGTGCTCCAACATTGGAAGTTTTTAAGAAGAGATCGGACAACCATTTGTCTGAAATGGTAGAGGGTTTCCTGCCTGAGCAGGGGGTTGGACTAGAAGACCTCCAAGGTCCCTCCCAACTCTTCTATTATTTCTATTTCTATTTCTGAAAAGGACACATAAGAAGACATCTGAAGAAGAGCCTTAGGGATAAGAGGACAAAGTTTAATCTAAATGATATCGTGCCACTCAGTGGTTAATTCAAGGTAAAAGAGGATATTTGTATCTCAGGGTTGAACTGTGGGGTCCTTGGTGCTGTCTGAGCTTGATGGTTTTCTTGCAGATGTTTAATGACCTAACTAGGTAACAGTGCATCATCAGTCAGCAGCCTCACTGATGACGTTATCTAATTTGGTGATGAAACGTCTGCAGGAAAACCATCAAGCACCAAGCACAGTTAATCAAGCTTTCCTGTAAATTCAGATGTAAGGCATGGAAACAGACTTCACATAGCAAGGACACTTCTCAGAATGTGGAAGTTTCTTCATAGCTAAAGCTACTGGTCAATGTAGTCTTTACTTTCAGGCAAAGTGCTCCGAGAAGACACAACATTGGACGATTCAGTCTATTGCTGTTCATTCCCTGAAAACAACTCGGTGCCGGGAGTGGAAAATTCATCTGAATTCATTGGAATTCGGTCCCTGACCTCTGCTTTTTTTTCTCTTTCCATGCTGTGACATGAAAATCTATCTATTGTATGCCATCAAGACTTGGATTTAAGAGTTGGGAAGCTTCTTGGTGTTGGAGAACAAAATGGCAGCTGATAGACATGACGTTGTTTATGAAACTCTGGTTTTTATATCATGAGAACTGATGATCCAGATACGAGTCCCTTTCTCTTTCTGCACTGTAGTTAGAGAGTGAGGTGAAAAAATATTTAATGGTCATTTGAATCAGAGCTGCTATGTCCCTCAAAAGCTATTCAATTCTAATTTGAAGCAGACAGTCTAGCAGAAGGATGGTAATTTGGGATCCAAGAAGAATGGCAAGGCCATTCACATTGTTTAGTCCTGCATCTAAAGCAGCTTTCTTCAATCTAGGTGTCCTCTAGAAATGCAGTCTTCATTTGCTAGAATTCTCCAGCCACCATGGAGACATGGAGAATTAGTTAGCTGATTGGAGGGTAGCCCAAACTGGAAAGACTATTATAAGAAGGTTTAAGGAACTCTGCAAAGAACGCATTAAACATACCAAAATGAAGACTAATATCTTCTGTATTTCTGAATGCCGTGCTTTGCTCTTCACACACCCTCTTCGTTGCAACTCACGTTTTCTTAGCTTAATTGGATATGGATATCACACAAATGCTGAGCAATTTGTTTTGATGTTAAGGCACGTTGGGGGTCATCTGGATTCTCGATTCAGAGATTGAAAAGAAAACTAGCTTTACCAGGAAGATATATATAGTGGTGGTAGAGTAGATGATTCTCCTGACCTTCAGATAGTCAAAGGTCTTTCTCACCAAAAATGGTGGCCAAAAACGGATGATCAAAACATTACACCTATCCCAAGGGCACTTGCTTGAAAGAGTTGAAAAACGAAGCAAGAGAACTTCGACTTCTCAAGGGGACAAAGAAGGAAGATGAGAAAGGCAGGAAAGAAGGATGAGATGCGTAAATGACAGAGGTGAACCTGGATGGTGATGAACTTAAAGCAATTGTCAAGAATATACTGCTGCCAAATCTTTCTTTTTTTTTAAAGCAGATTAGGTAAAAAAAAAAAAAACAACTTCATGCTTATCTTCCAAATAGAAGTAGAAGAATGGGAGGACTTCAAGGGTTTACAAGTCATCTGTAAAGAAGGAAGAGATTTGAGTCCATCATTCTGAGTTTCTTCATGGGCTTTGAAGCTGGGGCCAAAAAGGAATCTCAGAAGGGGCTGTCTGTAGGCTTTTACACAGACCATCTGCAAAAGAAATGAGAGGTTGTAGCCTCACAACTTCTCTGGGAGGTAGATTAAACTGAGAAATTAAAAAACCAAGCCTGAAGTTGAAAGGAAAATGGTGCCTTAGATTATTTCTAAGCCCAGAGGTGGTGATGACGTTATATAGTAGATGTTTCCATAAATGTATAACTAATAAACAGGGAAAACAACACAGTCCCCCCATGTATAAAAAAGCTGCTATGTCAAATAGACAAAAGAGTTGGGATTCTTTTTTTGTGAGGATTCTAAATCTTTCATTTTTTTTTTTTGGAATTCTCTTTTGGAGTTTCGCTGTCCGAATTTTTGTAACCCTTCCATGAATGAGAAGACTATTGATCTGACCACTTGTGTTAACATCCAGCTTCTAGCTACTAGTGTTTGGGCAACTTTTGATGGTGGGAGAACATTATCTCTGAAAAGATACAGGCTAGTCTAGAAAAGGTTTGTCATAAAACTTAAGACAAAACCTCCGTGTTTTGGATTTTACCCGTTCTCTAATTATCAGCCACTGAAAGTTGCTAAGTTTCAACATTTCTCTTCTCAAATTAACTCTTTGAAATTTAATTAGAATTTAGCTATACTGCTTGATGGCATAAATTACTAAAATGTTGTTATGATACCAGACTGTTTTTTGTTTGTTTATTTTTTTTAAAGGAATCCATTCTGTGGATTCTTTATTTAGCACGAATAAAGAACAAAATATAGCTAGAGGATAGGACTACTCTGAAGCCATTTTTATTTATTTATTTGAAATTGAATATCATCCTAGGCTCTTGCTAAGGATACAAAATACATTGTATTTGGTATCTGAATAACGTTGCCTAACCTACGCAAGGAAGTCACGATCTGCTCCAACAACGAAAGAAAGGAATTTGACAGTTGATTGGGAAAACTTCTTACAACGGTCCAGGTTTTTGCTTGCCAAAGACTTCGAAGCACAAGGGAAAGTTTCTTCATTGGAGATCTGACTCTGGATTTCTCTACCAAACCAGAATTGGTCTAGTTGTCCCATCAACTTGCTTGGATGCATAATCTATTGATGAATCATGTCTGGGTAAACCTCCAGATCCAGCGTCATCATAAGCGATCTTTTCTACCATTTTCCCCCTTGAATAAAGAAACACAACCACTCCTTTTCTTTTGAAGATTCCAAAACATTCTTCTTGTTGTTGTTTTTCCCCCTTTCTCTCTCTCTCTCTCTCTCTCTCTGCTCCAAGTAAAATGGCCTTTGAGCAAAAGTAGACATCTCTAAGTCTTTGCTGCTGGCATTAGCAAGCATGGTCCTTTTTGACCAGGAGCATGTTTAGCTTGTTGAAAATTAATTGTTGCATTTTCCCCCCATTATTATTAAATAAAAAATAATAATTTTTAAAAAACCAAGTTATCAAGGAAGTTTGTCTGGGGGGAAAAAAACTACGAACTATTAAGTGTTTGGCAGGAAGATGAATCTTCACTCATAGAAATTTGGAATTAATAATCCGAATCAGCCAGTCAGTTAACAACCAAGGATGGCCCAGACTTCATCACTCGTTTTCTCAGGTGTTCCCAACTGTGTTTTTCAACATATTGACTTTTCCTGTCAAATGTCACAGTTATCATATGGATATCCAGTGTTGAAGCTGCAAGGAGAAGCAAGAAAAACCAGGATTTAGCTGGACAACATGATTGATAAAACTTTTAGGATTTTACAATGAATACATTCAATTAGTTCACTTATTTTATACCAAGATCTAGCCTAACAGCCATGTTCAATTCCGCTGAGCAACAAATATGTGTGATTGATGGAGCTGCCTTTACCTATTTTCTTGACTTCACTCCAAAGGAAATAGTTCTGCATTTCTCAGGGGAAAAAAAAACGTACCCGGAAATATTTGCAACAAAGATGTATGTACAAGCCTACAACAAGGGAGCACAACTTTGTCTGGGCAATGTTGTTTGAATAGTGTCTCTGAGACTGGGCCCTCAAGAATCACTGCTGAAGGCAAAGCCCAAAACTAAAATTGATTCCATTGGATTGCAAAGTTGCAAAGTTATGGTTAGCAACGTTCCTCTTCTGTCCCAGGAAGCATTAGAGTTGGATTGCTATCTCCAAGCTCACAACCCAAACTGGGGTTGTGGAAGAACTCATAATCTTCATTTGTCTGAAGTGGTGTATGGTTCCCTGCCTAAGCAGGGGGTTGGACTAGAAGACCGCCAAGGTCCCTTTCAAATCTGTTATTCTAAGCTATTCTCCAAAGCATCAGAGGGCAGGACAAGAAGCAATGGGTGGAAACTAATCAAGGACAGAAGCAATCTAGAACTAAGGAGAAATTTCCTGACAGTTAGAACAATTAACCAGTGGAACTGCTTGCCTCCAGAAGTTGTGAATGCTCCAACACTGGAAGTTTTTAAGAAGAGGTTGGACAACCATTTGGCTGAAATGATGTAGGGTTCCCTGCCTAAGCAGAGGGTTGGACTAGAAGACCTCCAAGGTCCCTTCCAACTCTGTTATTCTATTCTATTCTTCACATTGCACATACACTCGTGGCTGAAAGTCAAAAGGACATCTTTTCCCAGTTATATCCACCCAACCCACTAGAATAGGGAGGCAGGGAATGTTAAAAGACTCTTCTCTTAACGAGGTCCACCTAGTGGGACCAAGAAGAAAGGCCTTATCTGTGGTGGCTCCCTCCCTCTGGAACACCATCCCTGTGGAGATAAGATTGGCTCCCACTTCTTTTCTTTTTTCTTTTTTTTTGCAAGGCCCTGAAGATATGGTTTTGCCCATGGACCTGAGGACACCAGAGTGGGATGGAGACCATCAAATGGTTGGTTTGATGGTTGACCCAAGGCGATAAGGATTCATTGGGGTTTTTAATTAGGGTTTTATTTCTGTAAGCCACCCAGAGTTATCATGAGTAAAAGATTGCATGAATATTCTCCCCCCCCCCCCCCCCCACCCCCCAGGGTTTACACGTCGTGGAAAAGAGAAGCTGAGAATACAGACCTTAAATTGTCTCACGTTTCCTTGGTCTACTAGATGCTGCTCATTGTGTGGTGTGATGCAGTACGCTATTTTCTAACAGAAAGCAGAAGGAAATTAAGAAAATTTAACCCAGCATTTTCATGATGGAAGGAACACTATGTAGCAGTGATGGCTAACCTTTTCTGGACTGAGTGCCCAAAGCATGCGTGTGTGTGTACGAATGCACCCTTGTGCGCCCAAACCCCCAAAATGCAATGCACTCCACCCCCTGTGCATGTGTGCATGCCCCCGCATGGACCCCACCCCTGCGCATGCATGCATGCCTCCCCCCCGCACACACACATCCCACATGTGCGGCAGAGTCCCGAAGACCAACTGGCCAATGGGAAGCGCACGCACATGTGCAACGGAGCTGGCCAATGGGAAAGGGCGCTGCGTGCCACCTCTGGCATGCATGCCATAGGCTCGCCATCATGGCTGTATAAGTTACGGAATATCTGGGGATAGATAAGGATCATTCGTACGAAGAAACTTTCACCTTCCTTGAAATAACTCCCTTGAGTTTCAGAAATAAGTCAGCAAATATGTGGATTTTCGCCCCCCTCCCCAAAAGACAATTTGGTCAGGAAACTTTCAATGATGATGAAGTAATCATAATGTAGGTCTTCTCCCTTTATGAAAATAGATTTGGGCCAAGAAAGGAAACAAATGGATTGCATCGTACTCGTTGAAAGTTTTCCTGAGCAAATTGCAGACCTGTTAGATCTTCTCAATCAACATTTTACACTACTGCCTTGCACTGAAAAACAATAAATCCCAGTTTAGATAATATTAGGGTAAACCTTTCAGGATAACTCAGAATTTGGAGTTGAACGGGAGTAGCAAGAGACGGTCAACCGCTTAAGAAAAGAAACATCTTCTGCATCAGTGGTGAAATCCTCTTCGGGTTGCCACCAGTTTGCTGCCTGCACATGCGCACTGCATGCCAAGTGCACATCATGTGTTCGCACATGCCCAGTGCACACCAAATGCACACTGTGCACGCATGCGCAATGCATGCCAAATGCACACTTCGCATGGAAAAAGGAGCCTTTTGAAGGTAAGTAGAACAGCGAGAGGGGAGGAGGGGACAGCTGTGCCGTATGATTTATATTCACTAGAAATCAGGATTTCCTGCTTTCTAGCAAATATAAATCGTGCGGCACAGCTGATCGTCGGAAATACCGGTTCGGACGAACCAGTAGCTTTTATTTCTATCGATTCGCTCCAATCGGTGCGAACCGGTAGCATTTCACCCCTGCTCTGTATGTTTTCATCTGTTTTATAATAGGCTATATAAATTTGAATCTAAAAACCCCAAAGGTTGATATCTGACTGAAATCTTGCAATAAAACAAAAGACAGGGGTCCGCGCTCTCTTGAATTTAATGGATTTCTAGAGTTTAGACTGTAAGATTTTTCCAATGGCGGTGACAAGAAAATTATTGTCTGTTACCGGTCCTAATTCTAGGCAATCTGGAACTGGTAATTGGGGGTGGGGTGTGTGCAGAGCAATTGTGAGGTAGATCAATGGGACGCAGGTTTTTGCCACCGAAAGAACATTTCTGCAAAAATGGAAACTGCAAATTGCTTTGCCTCCTTCTCCTCTTCCTCTTCCTCAATCCCCTCCTCCTTTCCTTTCTCTTCCTCTCCTCCTACTCCTCTTCCTCTTCCTCTTCCTCTTCCTCCTCTTCCTCAATCCCCTCCTCTTCCTCCTTCTTCCCTTCCTCCTCTTCCTCCTTCTTCCCTTTCTCTTCCTCTATCTTCTCCTCCCCTTCTACCTCTTCTTCCTCCCCCTCCCCTCCTCTTCTTCCTCCTCCTCCCTTTTCTCTTCTTCTATCTCCCCCTCCCCCTCTATATCCTCTTCCTCCTCTTCCTCCTCCTCTTCCTCAATCCCCTCCTCTTCCTCCTCCCCTTCCTCCTCTTCCTCTTCCGCCTCCTCTCTTTTCTCTTCCTCTATCTCCCCCCATCTCCTCTTCCTCCTCCCCTTCCTCCTCTTCCTCCTCCTCTCTTTTCTCTTCCTCTATCTCCCCCCATCTCCTCTTCCTCCTTCCCTTCCTCCTCTTCCTCCTCCCTTTTCTCTTCCTCTATCTCCTCCACTCTCTATCTCCTCTTCCTTCTCCTCTTCCTTCTCTTCTACCTCCTGGGCAATGTCCAGTGTTTTATCCCTGTAGCACCACTGAGAAGTATCCTGCCCCCAGAGACCACTTCCTTAATTTAATCTGAAGCCCTGCAATTGTGTTGATGCCAGGGAAAAGCCATTGGGAAATTCAAATTTTGATTTTTCTGCCTCACGTCTAGTTTGTCCCTTAATAGACCTGGGATGGCTTAGCTTCCAAATGTCCAGAAGAGGAAATACAGAAGTGTTCCAAATCCTTTTCTTGAAATGCAAAATTACTTTTGACTCGGTTTCCAAAAGGTCACCTATCTACGAAGCATTTGCGGAATTAAAGAAAAGCAAACTCTTAGCTTAACGCTGGCAATTTTCATTTCGCAAAGAACATTTCCATGACATTTCGTAGCTCGGCCACTCACTTGTTGAAAGGTCCCTGGTGTCCTCAGTAATTTGTAGAGGATGTATGCAGGCACAAGGATCATGGAAGATGATGCAATGGCCCATCCGACAGAAGTGGCCCAAGTGGGGAAGGTGTATTGGTCGTAGGTCAACGGTTTGGAATTTATGATGCTCACTAAGATTACAAACTGTAGGGGGGGGGGAGGAGGCGGAAGAGATAAACAAAATTAATTTCCTTTGAATCACAAGTTTATGCTGAGATGGAAAGAGAATGTGACTCACATCTGATTCTTGTGGCATGCAAGAAGAAAAAGAGACAGCATTTTTTGTTTATCGTTACTTTTTAGATGGTTGAGGTGGTAGATAGGATAGATAGATAGAGATAGATGAAAGAGATAGCTAGAGAGATGATTATGAATAGAGATAGATAGACAGACAGACAGACAGAGAATAGAGAGATGAGAGATAGATGAGAGGGAGAGAAAGAGGTTAGTTACATGATGGAAGGATGGGTGGATGGATGGATGGATGGATAGACAGACAGATATATAGATAGATGAAAGAGATAGCAAGAGAAAGTGGGATGATTATGAATAGAGATAGATAGATAGATAGATAGATAGATAGATAGATAGATAGATAGATAGATATAGATAAATGATAGATAGATGGATAGATGGATAGATAGATAGATAGATAGATAGATAGATAGATAGATAGATAGATAGATAGATAGATAGATGATAGATAGATAGACAGACAGACTAACAGAGAATAGAGAGATGAGAGAGAGAGAAAGAGGATAATTACTGGATGGATGGATGGATGGATGGATGGATGGATGGGTGGGTGGATGGGTGGATATACAGACAGACAGAGCGAGAATAGAGAGATGAGAGAGAGGATAATTACATGATGGATGGATGGATGGATGGATGGATGGATGGATGGATGGATGGATGGATAGACAGACAGACAGACAGACAGACGGACGGACGGACAGACAGAAAAACAGAAAAACAGACAGATAGATAGATAGGCTAGCAATAGCTAAGTAGTGACATTACAGGAGGGCATATTTTATTTTAATCCATAAATAAATAAATAAATGAGTGAGTGAGTGAGTGGCATACAGAGATACTCCAATGCAAATTCCTTCCTATCATTTTAGAATCTGGGTCTTATTTCCAAATTCAAACAGCTGTTTTTTTCCTTTCAGAATTCTAGGAGATTCTTCAAGCCTCTCATTCAGCTTCTCTGCTTCATCAAAGCTTTTGCATCTATTTAGAATCAAAGCAAGTCACACCACTGGACAGGAGACCAGCCCTTCACATTTAATATTGAGTGCCAAGTGCAATTACGTTGTACAAAAAGGCCCCAAAGCGTTTTGATCTGCCCGTAATGTTAGTTATTTGACCCATCACTCAAACATCAAGTTAAAGATGTTAACTGTGGAAGAAACGGTTTTAGCAGGAACTTATCGTGGCTCTAGCAATGCTCTGTTGTTGTTTTTCTAATCTCCATTCTAATGGAATAAAAAAACCCGAAATTTTCAACCAGGTTACCCTGAAACAGTGAATTACTCTAGAAAGACAATGGATTAAGATTACATTAATATGATAAGGAGCTTAACTGAATTCTGCAATTTTGACTAGGGAGCATCATGGACTTTTCATCAGCAAAGGTGAGGATGGAAACCTGATTCCATCTGTTTCCAAAACTCCTATTCATTGGGAATATTGCTGAATTCAACTTTGGCTAAAAAATATAATGATGCAGCATCCTATGGTATGGAAAGAGATGGTTGACTTGGAACAATCCCTTATCTACTGAATACAGCTCATCTGTCTGGAACCTGCACCGTGTATTGGACATTAATACAATCGAACGTATCCAGAAATATTTCACAAGAAGAGTCCTCCACTCCTCCGCTCGCAACAAAATACTTTATGCCACCAGACTTGAAATTCTGGGTTTAGAAAACTTAGAACTACGTCGCCTTTGGTCTGACCTAAACGTAGTACATAAAATCATCTGCTACAACGTCCTACCTGTCAATGACTACTTCAGCTTCAACCACAACAATACACGAGCACACAATAGATACAAACTTAAAGTGAACCGCTCCAAACTCGATTGCAGAAAATATGACTTCAGCAACAGAGTGGTCAATGCCTGGAATGCACTACCTGACTCTGTAGTTTCTTCCCCAAACCCCCAAAACTTTAACCTTAGACTGTCTATTGTTGACCTCACCCCATTCCTAAGAGGTCCATAAGGGGCGTGCATAAGAGCACCAGCGTGCCTACTGTCCCTGTCCTAATGTTCTCTTTAATTGTATTCATTTTATATATTCAATTTATGCTTATATTTATATATATTATCTAATATGTACTCGACAAATAAATAACAAAAAAAAGTAAAAATAAAAAAAATCAGCATATATTTTGTGCACAACCTCTTTCAATGCTCACTGAAAATGGCATCTGATTAGGATGTTTGTAAAATTTAAAATCTGTAAAAGCTATCAAAAATATTTTTCTTAGGAATTCTAGTATGCTCCAAGCATCTAAATTTCAATCTGTAGAATTTTCAGCAATGGCCATGTATGCTGACGGACTATTGGAACTGAAGACTACAAATGTCTGGAGATTAGCAAGATTGAGAGAACCATCAGATATAAATAGGCATTAAAACGGAGATGTTTGGGAATTCAGATTCTCTATTAAATTCTACATGTCTATGGATTTCCATACTGCCATAAATCTAAATTTGCTGCTCTCTTGGGGTGAAAGAAAAATCTGAATGGACTTTATTTTACATTTTCAAACCAAGATTTGAGTGCTTTATCTGAATATTTCAGTGTCGTTTTCCAATTAAAAATAACTTAAATTATTCATGATAATATTGTACAAAATTGCAGTCTGTCATAGGAATTTCTTTGCAAGAGCTGTATATTAGAGGCTATACAATGCAGGTATTTGAAGGAACGTCCCTAAAGCAATGTTGGTGGGTGACTTCGGTTCCTCCAATTTTGACATATTTTTGAAGTCCTCCAATTGTCGTGCCCATTTTATAGGAAGAGAAACTCAGCCCAACTGGAAGCATTGCAGATAGAAGGCCGAAGATAAATAAAGCAGTGAAACATTTCTAAGGAACAATAAAGGGTCATACCAGTAAAAAACCAGGGCTCACAAATTTCCAACACAATCGCCAGTAGATGCCCGGTTTAAAACCCAACATTCGCTGGATGTCTTCGCTGAATCTGTCCACACCTGAAAATTAACCATAAGGGTTGAAGAAAAATAAAAACATTTTCAGATGTTTTTAGAACATTCCAAGCCAAGTTGCCCCCCAACAACTACAGGCTTATGGACCCCTTAGGCATCTGTGCTTCCTGCATTTGAGGTTCTGGGTAGCACTGAATGGCCATGTCCGGCCTGCCATCTTCAGCTTCTTCACTTTGCTGGCATCCTGCCATAAAATGCAAGGGAGTGGGGGAGGGGAGGAATTTGGGGAAGTAAAAGTCGGGCATGGGAATGGAAAGACAAACAGAGGGAGGAGAACAAGTGGACAAGAACCAGAGGTGTCAAACTGGAATGAGCCAGCTGCCAAGGACACAGGGCCTGGGAACAGAATGTGAAATGACATCGAGAGGCGCCAAACCTCAAAGCGGTTCTTAAAACATCAAAAAGGAATACTAATGAACTGGTTGAGAAGGGGAGGGCCAGGGAGAAGGGGAAAAGTGTCACCTTTGCACGGGAATACTCAGATCTAGCTTTACTTTCGCTGCAACCACTTATCTTTAGTAAAAGAACCTTATCACTTCAACCATATGGAGTCGAGGGTCTTTCTTTTCCTAAATGTCTTAAGTCAGGACAGGGCTAGGCAGGTCAGTACAGGGCAGAGCCAGTAGAATTAAACTCCCCAGAAGTCCTCCCTGCTACCATAGACGAAGAAGGATTGAGCTGTAGAGTCTGAAGTGCGTCTGGAGATCCAAACGAGCTGTCAGCTGAGCATCTGATGGAGGGAGAGAACTGAAGCTACCTTTCCTTGCCGAGTCTCAGATGCCCTGCAATTACAGTCATTTATCCAACAAGATGGGAACAGCGTAATTGAAGGTCTCATGAAAACTCGGCTCCCGGTCTCTGAGGTTTGCCAGTAACAGGCTTTTGTCGTTCGCAACTTGGCAGAAGCAGGAGTGATTAAGAAGCCATTTTCCCCAGGTTTGCCTTGCGGCAGTTCGTAAACTCTGCAAATCACAGTCATAATGAATACGGCTACTACAATCTAGGGTTATCCAAGTGCGCTTATTTCAATTTGCAGAAGGCCTCGGGTGGCCTGAGTTATGGCTATGTACACATCGGGAAAGTCAAGTCTGCCTTTGTGTGGATTAATCTCCCAATGCCTCTTTTTTATACCAGTGGCTCTACGTTTTGGTCCAGGGCGTGTTGACATACAGGAGCCATTCTGAAGGCAAAATATTATTCTCAGATGTTGAGTGGACATTCCTCCCAAAAACTAAAACGAAGAAGACGACTGTGCAATGGAAGATAAGCTCTTCCTGATGGTTTCTACAGACAGGAATGCAGGTAGACCTTGACTTATGACTGTTTGTTAGAGCCTTTGAAGTTATGAGAATATTTGTATCGCAGGATTGAAATGAGAGGTCCCTGGTGCTCTCTGAGCTGGGTTGTTTTCTTGTAGATGTTTAATTATCCAAACTAGATAACATCATCAGTGATAAACTTAAGACACCGATGGTAATGAAACATCTGCAAGAAAAAAACTCAGCTCAGAGAGCACCAAGGACTCCGGAGTTCTCTTCTTCCTCCTCCTCCGCTTCTTCTTCCTCCTCCTCTTCCTCCACCTCCTTCTCCTCCTCTCCACAAACACCGCTCCCTTCTAGCCCTGATGATGTTCTCTAGTTGGATAATGAAATATCTGCAAGAAAACAATGAAGCTCAGAGAGCACCAAGGTACTCCTCAAATCCACGTGACCTTGGATGGATCCCCGCTAAACTTCAGATACATCTTCCTCCTGAGGGAGTCTTGGGGCAGTTTTTTTCTGCAGGATTCATGAAGACTCTGGGAACAGTTTAAACTCAGCTTTGGGACAGACTCTCTGTCATCTCTGTCTCAAATAAAAGAGCTAAACTTGCTCTCCTCACCACTCACCATAAAACCAGGAAACGCCGATGGCTTCCACCAAAACAGCAAACAAGATGGAGGTCCCAGCAGCGTAAGTATCCAGCAGAGTCAGTATGTAGATCCCCCCCTATATAAGATGAGAAGGAAACAACTTGTAAAATAAGCTTTACCATCATTTCAAAAACACAGTGGAATGCTCCAAACTTGGGCCACTTAGAAATTATTTTGCCCGGTTCCTGAAATATATAAGCACCCATTTTAACAGTAGCAAAACATGAATGAACATCAGTAAGGACAGATGGGTGCAGGACGTGGTGGCTCAGTGGCTAAGACTCTGAACTTGTCGATCGAAAGGTCGGCAGTTCAGCGGTTCAAATCCCTAGTGCCGCGTAACGGGGTGAGCTCCCATTATTTGTCCCAGTTTTTGCCAACCTAGCAGTTCGAAAGCACGTAAAAAATGCAAGTAGAAAAATAGGGACCACCTTTGGTGGGAAGGTAACAGCGTTCTGTGCGCCTTTGGCATTGAGTCATGCCGGCCACATGACCACGGAGACGTCTTCGGACAGCGCTGGCTCTTCGGCTTTGAAACGGAGATGAGCACTGCCCCCTAGAGTTGGGAACGACTAGCACATATGTGCGAGGGGAACCTTTACCTTTACCTTAAGGACAGATGGAATGTAACATAGTCCCAATGGATCTTTTTCATCCTTTGATGCACGACAAGGTCTTATTTTTAAAACCAAAATTTTAAAAGTCTATGGAGATTCTCAGTCATGGTTCTCCCAAAAGTGCTTCCCCACCCCATCCCAAAAAGGCAACTGGACTGGCTTTGTTTTTCCTTGAAGACCTTTCGCTTCTCATTCAAGAAGCTTCTTCCGTTCTTCAGAAACGTCTTCAAGGAAAAAACAAAGGAAGTCCAGTTGCCTTTTTTTTTAAAAAAAAGCACCTTTGGGAAACCAAATGGTTGTTCTGGCTCTCGGGGTTCCTCTCGTTCGTTTTGTGACGCAGATGGAGTTGTGCCATTTTCAATTGTTCGGTTTTTAAATCTGTGTATCGTATGTCTTTATCCCTTACTGTAAAAACAAGGACATTATCAGCAAGAGTCCCTTGGGAGTTGGGCGGCATAGAAATGCGACAAAATAAATAAATAAATAAATAAATAAATAAATAAATAAATAAATAAATAAATAAATGAATGAATGAATGAATGAATGAATGAATGAATGAATGAATGCAAGAAAGTAACAGTAACAGAGTTGGAAGGGATCTTGGAGGTTATCTAGTCCAACCCCCTGTACAGGAGACCTGTACTAGGGATTCGAACTGCCGAACGGCCGACCTTTCTGATCGACAAGCTCGGCTGCTGCAGATACAGGAGGCAAACAAGAGGTGAGTTCAAATGGACCTCACACACACACACACACACACACAATTTTTCATCAACATTTAACAAATGTACAAAGAGGAAGAAAGCTTTATTTATAGAATCGTTCAATTTATTTTGTAAAACATCATCTTAGGCAGTGGTGAGATTCAGCCAGTTTGCACCAGTTCGGGTGAACCGGTTGTTAACTTTCTGAGCAATTTGGCAAACTGGTTGTTGGAAGAAATCATTAGGGCAGAGAACCGGTTGTTAAATTACTTGAATCCCACCACTGATCTTAGGGTAAAACCTAAGGAAACTATATCCATAAAGCATCAATGAAATGAAATAATTAAGCTACAAGCAAATCAATTCTTACAAGGTAAGAACATTCAACGTAAAAGGCATGCCAGATAGGTAACAGATCACCACACTGACAGCTGGGGAAGAAAGGAGAAAAACATTTAGGTAGGCATAAATATTCCCTACATATCTGAAAATGAGGAAAATGCGCATTAGGAAAAGGATGTTCTAGGAAGAGTGAGCACCACCAACTCAGACAAGCCTGAGATAAGATTTAGATGTTGTGCATCAAACCCCTTTTAACTATTGGTCAAGCTGTTAGAACTGGGCCTGCACAGTTAACACACCTCCATGGGGTCCCTGGAACTCTCTAAGCTTGGTGGTTTCCTTGCAGATGTTTTATGACCCAAGTGGGTAACATCATCAATGCTAGAAGGGAGGAGATAACCACTGATAAGGTTACCCAGTTGAGTAATGAAATGTCTGCAAGAAAATCATCAAGCTGACAAAGGACCAAGGAGGAGGGAGGGAGGGAGGGAGGGAGGGAGGGAGGGAGGGAGGGAGGAAGGAAGGAAGGAAGGAAGGAAGGAAGGAAGGAAGGAAGGAAGGAAGGAAAGTTCAGCATCTTTTGGGATATCACAATATTATCAGCGTGATTTCAAGGTGGAAGGGAGGGAGGGAGGAGGAGGGGAGGGAAGAATATAGAGGGAGGGAGGGAAGAATATAGAGGGAGGGAAGGGAGGGAGGGTGGGAGGGAGGGAGGGAAGAAGAGAAGGAGGAGTGGGAGGGAAGGAGGGAGGGAGGGAGGGAGGGAGAAGAAGGGGAGGGAAGGGAAGAATATAGAGGGAGGGAAGGGAGGGAGGATGGGAGTGAGGGAAGAAGAGAAGGAGGAGGGGAGGGAGGGAGGGAGGGATGAAGGGAGGGAGGGATATCATACATGATGTTACCTACTTGGATAATGAAACATCTGCAAGAAAATAATATTTGTCTTCAGAGAACACCAACGATCCCCCAGTTCAACCCTGAGCTACAAATATTCTCTTCTATTGGTACTAACACACCTCCACCTCCATTTCTTTTCATTTCCCTGGCAAAGGCATGCCTTCCAAAGAGTGCACTTACATTGGATACGCACAAGAGAGAAAGGAGGAAGGTGCCAATACAGACAGCAAGTGTGAACAGCTTTCTGTTTCTCTTCAGGATCTGGAAATCATCTGCCAAACCGGTAATGACCGCTTCCATGCCACCCATCTGAGTTGGGGAGAAAGAGAAGATGGAAGTGTCGTCAAAAGTTGGCAGCCTAAGAATGGGCAGTTCGGAGCAAACCAACATTCACCTCCTGCGTCATACAGTTCTAATGCTGGTTAGTCAAGGTCTGTATAGGGGCATCTTTAGGGTTGGTTAAAACAATAAAGATGGCAGCCTGAATAGTGGATGTTTGTTTATATGAAGTGTGCATCCACACACAAAAAACAGTGGTCAAACCACATCATCTTAGCTATATTCTGCAGACTCTCCCTCCCTTGTCTCTTTAGATATATATCAGTGACATTTTTGTAGACCTACAAGCAAAACTGAAATAGATCACTCTAGAATTAAAATGGAGTGGTGCGGTGGCCCAGAGGTGGAGCACTCCCCTCACATGCAGGAGGCTGTGAGTTTGATCCTAGGTAGAGGCAGATATTTCTCTCTCTGGCCTCATACTGAGAATAGATCTGCTGAGCAAAACTCCGCATTGGTGACAGGAAGGGCATCCGGCCATTAAAACACTGTGCTAGCTCCATTCGGTTGCCCAGACTCCACCCCGCAAGGGATTATGGGGTCATTAAATGAGGATCATTCTATCCTCTCTAAGTGGTTTACAGAGTCAGCATATTGCCCCCAACCATCTGGGTCCTCATTTTACCCACCTCGGAAGGGTGGAAGGCTGAGTTAACCTTGAGCCGGTCAGGATCGAACTGCTGGCAGTCGGCAGAATTAGCCAGCAATACTGCATTCTAACCACTGCACCATCACGGTTCTTACAGAATACTTACAGAACTGTCTATGCCCAGGCTAAGGAGCATTATAAAAAACACAATTGCCCAAAACGTTGATCCGTTGAGAGTTGAAATAGCTTCTGGATAAAGGATGAAAACCAGCCCAGCTCCTAAGAAACAAGAACATTTGGGTTTCCCGATTTCATAAACTTAAGATATTAAAACATGCATTTCCCGATTTTATAAACTTAAGCTTTATACACTTCAATCAATGTAAATGTGCGTAACCGTTCCACACCGTCCCTTCTCTTTGCCTTGAGCAGACTGAAGACGCATAATAGCTTTTGTTGTTGTTATACTTGTGACTGGTCAATAGGTGTCACTATGTCCCACCCTTCTGAAGTCATCCCTACCCTGAAATATATCTCTGAATTCAGTTTAGAATAAGATTTTGTGCTTTTTTTTCTTTTTCTGCTTCTTCTTCTTTTTTTTTTTTTTAAAGAAAACATAGAATAAGACCCACAAGATTCTCAGAAATTTATTTCAGAGGATAAGTTATCTTTTCGACATTTCTGGACACGTCTAGTTTTTTTAAAAACCAGGAACTCTTCTTGTACCACAAAGAGGCGAATAGATGAGCCAACAAATAACTTAGGATTTTATTTTTATTTTTATTTTATGGGAAACCGTTCATTGAAACAGATGGGGTTGTATGGAAGAAACCTCCTTACCTTCTGTAGCCACATCTTTAATGCTGACTTTGTATATATGAGCCATGTAGCCCAAGATAGAAAAAATTGCAAAGCCAGAAATGAAACTGGTGACACAGTTGATTGTGCTAGTCATCAGTGCATCCCTAGGAGGAGAACCAAAAATTGAGAAGAAGAAAAAAAGAGGATAATAAGGAAAAGGCATTTTCAAAATTTTTAAAGAAAAAAAAAAAGCTGGCTTCAGTGACTTTTTTGTAGACCCACAAGCAAAACTGAAATAGATGAATCTATATATTTAGAGATTATGTCTATATTTATATCTATATGCTATATATTTCTCCCTTTCCCCCCCCCTTCACATTTACTTAGCATTTTAGGGGCCAAGCTGATGTTGATGACATCATATACCAATAGGATTTGAATACCATTTGTCTGAAGTGTTGTAGGGTTTCCTGCCTAAGCAGGGGGTTGGACTAGAAGACCTCCAAGGTCCCTTCCAACTCTGATATTCTATTCTATTCTATTCTATTCTATTCTATTCTATTCTATTCTATTCTATTCTATTCTATTCTATTCTATTCTATTCTTTTGCATTCTATTCTATTCAATTCTATTCTTTTGCATTCAATTCAATTCTATTCTTTTGCATTCTATTCTATTGCATTCTATTCTATTATTTTACATTCTATTCTATTCTATTCTATTCTAATTCTGGATTAGTTTGTCAGGCAACATTCAAAACAGCGGGTTAAAGAGGAAGCAAGAATTGCAAGTGAAGAGAGGAAACAAGCAAGATCTGGGATAAAATATTATTTTCATTTTTAATTTTTTTAAATTTTGTTTTATTTCATTTGCTTTGATTTCAGATTATTTCAGAATCCGAATTCAAAAAGCCTGATCCATTTTTTTTAAAAAAGTAACTTGGATTAACTAGTCTCACCAGTAATTTGGAACTGAGCTGATTCTACAGAGGAATTATTGAGTCTGTCATCTGCGCCTCCATAACTGTCTGGTTTGGTTCTGCAACCCAACAAGACAGACCCAGACTTCAGAGGATAATTAGAACTGCAGAAAAAACTACGGCTACCAACCTGCCTTCCATGGAGGACCTGTATACTGCACGAGTCAAAAAGAGGGCTGTGAAAATATCTACAGACCCCTCGCATCTTGGACATAAACTGTTTCAACTCCTACCCTCAAAACGACGCTATAGAGCACTTCACACCAGAACAACTAGACACAAGGACAGTTTTTTCCCAAACGCCATCACTCTGCTAAACAAATAATGCCCTCAACACTGTCAAACTATTCACTAAGTCTGCATTAATCTTCTCATCATTCCTATCACACATCTCCTCCCACTTACTGTATGACTGTAACTTGTATGATTCGATTGCTTATTTGTACCCTATGACTATCATTAAGTGTTGTACCTTATGATTCTTGATGAACGTATCTTTTCTTTTTATGTACACGGAGAGCATATGACAAATTGCTTGTGCGTCCACTCACACTTGGCCAATAAAGAATTCAACTCTACTAAACAAGTCAAGACCAAATCTTTCCACTTATCTGAGAAGCAAATGTTGTTTTTGAGGGTTGTTGTTGTTTTAAAGAGAAATAAATATTTCAGAAGGAGAGCAAATTTACTCTTATTTGGCAAGGAAAGAGAAACAGTAGCAAAACACCAGAAGTTGCATCCGAATGATCACCCAACAAGTTAACACAATTGAGAAAACTGCCTTTCAGAGAATGTCATCCTGCCTTCAACAGAACTTGGGTGAAGTTGCCTTCTCATTTTTTGTGTGTGCGTTTTAAAACGTTGTACGGTAAATTTACTCCGATTACAGGGATAAAAGCAATTACGCCGGAAATGTTTCATTTCTCTCTCTCTTTTTTTCCAACGGCGGGCATCCTAGTGATTGGCTACAATTAATGGCAATCTGATTCCAAAGGCAGATGGCTGTCATTAGGATAAGCGTGTGTGATTAGAGGTGTCATGACTATTGCATGATGCACATCTCAAGTGACCTCACCAAATTCTAATCGAAAGCAAACTATCAGGATGCTGAAATGAAAACATGGATTCAGTTCTGCATAACAGGTGCAGGAATTATCACAATAGAATAAACCTAACAATGAAAATTCTTACTTTGAATGAAATTTGGGTTTGTTTGCCCATCCACCACAAATATCGAGCCTTCCCCCCCCCCCCCCACACACATACATTTTCTTTTAATGTGATGGAAAAGAAATGGCTTATGATCCCTCTTCTTGGGTAGCTCTTTGGGGTTTGAAGTTTTGATGGAACAATGTTCTTCAAATCTCATAGTTATGGGGTATATGGCAAAGGAGACGTGTCTAATCCAGGTGTCAGCAACCTGTGGCTCCAGAGCCGCTTGCAGCTCTTTGGCCCCTCTGCTGCGGCTCCCGGTCCCCCTCCCCTCCCAGTCACTTCTCGCTTGGCCTTAGAAATCCCAGAGATACAGAGTGGGGAGGGGGAGAGAGAGGGAGAGGGGGAGAGAGGGAGAGAGAACAAGCAGTTCTCTGCCCTAATAACTGGCTGGGTAGGCATGGCTAGGGGAGTCATGTGACTGGGTGGGAGTGAGTGACATTGAGTTGGCCACACCCACCCAGGTTTTGTGGCTCCTGTGTGTTTTTTTTTCTGTGGGAAATGGATCCAAATGGCTCTTTGAGTGCTTAAGGTTGCAGATCCCTGGTCTAATCAATCAGAGAACAGAATAACAGAGTTGGAAGGGACCTTGGAGGTCTTCCAGTCCAACCCTCTGCTGAAGCGGAAAACCCTATACGTCATTTCACACAAATGGCTGTCCAGTCTCTTCTTAAAAGCCTCCATTGATGGAGCACCCACAACTGCTGAAGGCGAGTGGTCCCACTGGTTCATTGTTCTCCCTGTCAGGAAATTTCTCCTTGGTTCTACGTTGTTTCTCTCCTTGATTAGTTTCCACCCATTGTTTGGTATCCTTTCCATCCTTTTGTAGTCTACAGTCTTCTTCTTCTTGCACTATATCCGTCATCGGATGTTGGCGATCATGTTGGCAATCCTATTTTTATCAACAGCTTCATGGAAAAGTCTACAGTCTTCCCATCTTCTTTTACTTCCATGAAACCCTAAGGCATGGCATTGTGAGAGAGGGCCTCCCATGAGGCTTCTTTAGATCAGAAACGATGAGTGATGATGATGATGAAGATGATGATGATGATGATGATGATGATGATGATGAACTGAACTCCGTTCGGTTGTGTCCGACTCTTGGTGATTCTGTTGACCAGCTCTCTCTGATCTTGTACTACTTCTTGGAGTTGTTCTATGCTCTGGGTGGTGTCAGCTTTGATGTTATCCAGCCATCATGTTCTCTGATGGGCCTGGTTTCCTTTTGGCGCACTCTTATTTTCTAGCTAATGTCTCCTTATATGAAAATAGCTTTTAAAAAAAAAAGCCAATAGAAAGATGAAAGATATGCACAACTTAATTAAACCAGCACAACTTACCTGTAACAATTGTTGTGGAATTCATTGTAGCTTGCAAAGGCAATTAAAACACCAAACCCAGCTCCGAGAGAGTAAAATATCTGTGTGGCAGCATCAATCCATACCTACATAAAGAGAATTCAGTGTGAATGCACTTTTAAGGTGCTTGTTTGTTTGTTTGTTTTTTGTGTTAAGGCGCAAGAAAAATTGGACAAGAATACAGGTTGTCCTTGACTTACAACCATTTGTTTGGCAACTGTTTGAAGTCACAATGGCACTGAAAAAAGTGATTTATGACCAGTCCTCGTACCTAGGACCATCGTAGCATCCCCATGTCATGTGATCAAAATTCAGATGATTGGCAACTCGTGTGATTTTATATTTGCGGCATTCCAGGGTCACATGGTTGGCAACTTTCCCAGCCAACTTCCAACAAGCCAATAAAGTCAACAGCGGGGGGGAGGGGGGCCAGGGGGAAAGGAGCCAGATTCGCTTAACAACTGTGTGATTCACTTAACAACCAGAGTAATTTGCTTAACAACCATGGCAAAAAAAAAAGGTAAAATCAGGCGTGAGTCATCGAACACTGCCTTGCTTAGTAATAGAAATTCTACTCCCAATTGTGGTCATAAGTTAAGGACTTACCTGGTTCAGAAATTTCAAAAACTATCAGCGAAGCTTTTTTTCAATGATGGAGTAAACCTGAATGATTGACTTTAGGACATTTTCTTCAGGGGTGAAATCTACTTACCTTCCCTACCGGTTCGGAAGTACATGCGCTGCCATCGTCACATGCAATTTTGGACCCTCTGCACATGTGCAAAGCCTTCTGCACATGTGCAGAGGGTCAAAAGGCTATTGCCGCCCTGAGTCTCCAGAGAAGGGCGGCATATAAATCAATTTTTTTTTTTAAAAAAAAGGTACTTGATGTCTGGGTGGGTGGGCGGAGCCTCGCACTGCCGCCGCTACCAGTTTGCCGAACCAAGCACCGCCGCTACCAGTTCACTGAACCAAGCGCCACCACTACCAGATTGTCTGAACAGGAGCGAACCGGTAGCATTTCACCCCTGATTTTCTCCCAGCTCAACTAAGAGCTGGATGGAAAGTGCCTTAAACGCTTGAAGAATGACAGGCCACAAGTCCAACAAAGGCATAAATAAATATTAACAAATACTGGGTTGATCCATTCTTCCGGAGAAGTCTCATTCTTATGCCGTCAATACGTCATGGTTCATCCATTCTCAGTGGGGAAAAAAATCACAGCATTGTTTCATCTTTCTTTACATTAACCCTGTGGAGAAATCTTCTCTGCTGATCATTCACAACAAAACATTCCCTCCTCAACTGTTTACTCTGCAGTAATGCTATTTAGTGACTTCACCAGCGACTCGTCCTGCCCAGGGTGACTGTCCCAAACTATTTTTACTTAACTAAATGTTTTTACAAGGAATGCCAGCCAGCCAGTCGGTCTCCCCTCTAAGCTCCAGGGTCGGCCTTGCTATGAATGTTGCTCTTGCCCAGGGCTGGCGTATGATGCTCACTTGCACATAATAAATTATAGATTTATAGTCTAAGGAAAAGAAAACAATTGGAGAACATCCACAGACACCAAGATGTTTGCAGGAAGCTCCTTCTGGAGAACAATGGCACAAAGTCACTCGCTCTTCCTGACAGGGCAGACTTGATTTGAGAAGCAACCGCTTCTGAAGAAGACATTCAATTTCAGACATCAGATTCCTGCTCCGCTAATGTTCCTTCCCTGCTGGAAGTTCCCTGAAAATACGACCTCCCTTCCACAGAATCCATTATCAATTGCTTAGTTCAAGATACCTTCAAGCATAAACGACCGCTCCTCACCACAAAAATATATATGACCTCGTAGACGACCCTCACTCTGTCAAGGACCTTGGAGTACTCATCTCAAATGATCTAAGTGCCAGAGCTCACTGTAACAGCAATGCCAAAAAGGCGTTAAGAGTTGTCAACCTAATCTTGCAAAGCTTCTTCTCCGGTAACATTGTACTGCAAACTAGGGTATACAAAACCTTTGCTAGACCAATTCTCGAATACAGCTTGTCTTCCTGGAATCCACACTGTATATCGGATATTATTACAATTGAGAGAGTCCAAGGGTATTTCATGAGAAGAGCCCTCCACTCCTCTACTCACAACAGAATACCTTATGCCACTGGGCTTGAAATTTTGGGCCTGGACAACCTAGAACTACGCCGCCTATGGTCTGACTTACACGTAGTACACAAAATTATCTGCCGCAACGTCCTACCTGTCAATGACTACTTCAGCTTCAACTACAATAATACACAAGCACACAATAGATACAAACTCAAGGTAAACCGCTCCAAACTCGATTGCAGAAAATACGACTTCAGCAACAGAGTGGTCAATGCCTGGAATGCTCTACCAGACTGTGATTTCTTTCCCAAACCCCCAAAACTTTAACCTTAGACTGTCTACTGTTGACCTCACCCCATTCCTAAGAGGTCTGTAAGGGGCATGCATAAGTGCACCAGCGTGCCTACCGTCCCTGTCCTACTGTCTCCGTTTATTTATCTCCATTTATTATGTTCATATTTATGTTTATACTTATGCCTGTTATCTTTTACATATTTGAGAAACTAAATAAATAAAAACAAAAAGAATGCTAGAATGCCAAGATGTGGAATGTGATGTCACAACACATGCAATCTCCCCTCTTTCATACTTGGGTTTACAACGTTGCACACAAGGACTTAAAAGGCCAGAGTTTGCAACACAATATTGGGGGGGGGGGGTTCATCATTTGGCCCCTTTGCTCCAACCACGGAATGAACTTTTGTCCATTCAAAATGTTATGAATCATCATTTTCTTAATAACTTTAAGCAACCGAAGACATAGAATGTAGAATAACAGGGTTAAAGGTCTTCTAGTCCAACCCCTTGCTCAACCAGGAGACCCTATACCATTTCGGACAAATGGCTGTCCAGTCTCTTCTTGAAAACCTTCATCCAGTGATGGAGCACCCACAACCTCTGTGGAAGCAAGCCATTCCATTGATTGAATTGTTTCCAGTGACAGGAAATTTTCTCCTTAGTTCTAGGATGAATCTCTTTTTGATAAGCTTCCACCCACTACTTCTTGTCCTCAGTTGCTTTGGAGAATAGGTTGACCCCCTTTTCTTTGTGGCAGCCCCTCAAGTCCTGGAAGGCTCTATCTAATTCACCCCTAGCCTTTCTCTTCATTCAGACTAGACCAGTGGTGGCGAACCTTTTACTCACCGAGTGCCAAAAAGGTACGCACTTCGCTTATGCGCGGCACCTCCCCTGGGCACTGTGCATGAAACCACACCATCTGTGCATATGCACAGCTTTCACACGGCTCCCCCCATGCACTGCGTGTGGAACTGCACCATCTGTGCATGTGTATGTCTTTCGCTCAAGCGCACGCTGCCCGCAGGTACTTGCACACAAATGCGCATGCATGCACAGGAGAGCTCCAAAGACCAGCTGGGCCTCCGGAATTGCACACATGCGCACCAGAGGCCCATACTGGGCCACGTGCACATGCATAGCTGCAGGTGAGTTGGGCAACAGCTCGTGTGCCTGGAAAGATGGCTCTGCGTGTCACCTCGGCCATGCGCGCCATAGGTTCATCATCACAGGACTAGATAACAAGGCTGCCTGAGAGATTATTATCCCAACTAGAATTGGAGAGGTTCATACTTTAATGCAGACTGTCCTAGTTACTTCTGAAATGCTTTGCTGGGATATTCAAACCAAGAAAAATAAATAAGGCATCTTTAAATCACGCTGGCTTTTCAATATGATATTTGATAATAATAAGTCACTGATAAGTCAGTTACAAATCTCACGAGGAGACCAAATGGTCAAAGGAGATTTCCTTTGATCTCTTCATGAGAATCATAACTACAATCATTCCGGGAATGGGAATTTAACAGCTGAGAGCGCAGACAGTAGGAGGGTAGAAGGCTTACTTGAGCTTCTTTCAATCGTCCAAAATCGATGTTGAGATACGCCTTGATTCCCTCATATGCACCAGGCAAAGTTAGCCCATGGATTAGCAGCACAGACAACACAACGTAAGGCAATGTCGCAGTTATCCATACAACCTGTAAGGCCAAACACATGAAAACAATAGGATCCATCCATCAACAGTAAATGTTGATTAAAAATGCAAGTCTCTATTAGGAGCACAGAAAGCTGTTATCGCTTCAACCAGATTATTTGTTTTACTTCGTCTAGTATGGTTGATATGAGAGTCTCCATGGCTTCAAAAAAAAATTATCTTCCATAATTTATTCTGCATTACATCCAAGATAGCACACCCATTTGCATCCCTTGAATAATATCTCATGTAGAGTTACCATATCTGGGATATATAAAAGTCGTGATCTTCACTTCATACCTGTTAAGAACAGGGGTGAAATCCAGCAGGTTCTGACAGGTTCTGGAGAACCGGTAGTGGAAATTTTGAGTAGTTCAGAAAACCGGCAAATACCACCTCTGACTGGCCCCAGAGTGGGGTGGGAATGGAGATTTTGCAGTATCCTTCCCCTGGAGTGGGGTGGGAATGGAGATTTTGCAATATCCTTCCCCTGCGACGCCCACCAAGCCACACCCACAGAACTGGTACTAAAAAAATTTGGATTTCACCACTGCTTAAGAACATTCTACCAGCGTCGATGTCTATGGAGATTCTCAACCGTTCAGGACATGGTTAGCGAGAAAGTGCTTTTTCCAAAAGGCAACTGGACTTCCTTGGTTTTTTTTTCTTTGAAAACATTCCACTTCTCATCCAAGATGCTTCTTCAGTTCTAACTGAAGAACAGTGAAAACTAAAGAATTTCATTCTTGGATGAGAAGCAAAATGTTTTCAAAGATGAACACCAAAAAAGTCCAGTTGCCTTTTGGAAAAAGCACCTTTGGGACAGTGGTGAAATCCAATTTTTTTTTACTACCAGTTCTGTGGGCTTGGCTTGGTGGGTGTGGCTTGGTGGGCATGGCAGGGGAAGGATACTGCAAAATCCCCATTCCCACCCCACTCTAGGGGAAGGATGTTGCAAAATCTCCATTCCCACCCCACTCTGGGGCCAGCCAGAGGTGGCATTTGCCGGTTCTCCAAACTGCTCAAAATTTCTGCTACCGGTTCTCCAAACTACTCAAAATTTCCATTACCAGTTCTCCAGAACCTGTCAGAACCTGCTGGATTTCACCCCTGCTTTGGGACTACCACCATTGAGTGATCATCTGGACTTTTGGCTGCCTTGATCTGGTAATCCTAATTTTATTAGGAAAATATCTATCATTGGTATACCATGTTTCCCTGAAAATAAGACCTCCCTGGATAATAAGCCCAATCGGGCTTTTGAGTGCATGCGCTAAAATAAGCCCCTCCGAAAACAAGCCCTCCCCAAAAATAAGCCGTCCCGAAAATATTTAAATGCATGCACAGCTGGTCCCCGCCATTTCCTCAGGTTAGGGTTAGGGAAACAGAGCTGGAAATCAGGTAAGACGGCAAGAGGAGCCCCGTCTTGCTCCACACGCTCCAAAATAATAAAACCTCCCCAAAAATAAGGCCAAGCACTTATTTTTGGGTTCAAAAAAAAATATAAAACAGGGTCTTATTTTCGGGGAAACACGGTAATATAGTATGATAATTCCGTACTGCTTCTGGCTATCCAAATGGAATCAAACCAATACATTAAAGTTTTAAGTTAAAGACGAACAAAGAAACAAACATTCTCCTACCTTTCCAGAGGTCTTCACACCTTTCCACAGGCTAAAAAACAGGATTATGACTACCACCAAGAGGCACAACACCAGCTGCCACCGAGGCTGGCCGATTTCATGAATCCCACGGCTAATTTGTAAAACTCTCCGCCTATCCAAAGAGAGAAGAGGAAGAATCAGATCATCTAATATGGTGGGAGAACGTGGTTGTCAATCCCGATTCTCCACTGAAAGCCACCACCTACTCTAACTGGGATGAGCGAAATCATGTTCAGAATCAAGGTTTCCCCTTTTTGAGAGAAACAAAAAAATAAAAGAGAAGGAAGTAACATGTCGTTCCATTGATTTGGGCATTTAGTCACAAAGTTTCCAAAGAGGAGGAATTTCCCCCAGAGATAATTCACTCTCCAAGAAGTTTAGGATAGTCCATACATTGATCTTGATGCTACAAAGATCACCGTCAGTGTTAAACACAATGAATTATCATCTTTTCCACTAAGATGTCTGTACAATTTGTAAAGTTCTGAAGCACTAGTATACACCTGGGAGATTTGCATTAATCAGAACTTTAAGGCAACCAAAGTCAAAACATCTGTATAGGTATCTTCTACCACAGGGATACTCTCAGTCATGGAAGTTAAGAATGACCTATGATTGTGAAACCGACACTGAGAAGTATCAAAGGTGCTTTTCCAAAAGGCAACTGGACATCCTTGCTTTTTTTTCCCCTTAAAAACACTTCACTTCTTATCCAAGAAGCTTCTTCAGTGCTCCTTCTCCAAGACACTTCTTCAGTTCTTCTTCTTCACTGAAGAAGAAGCTTCTTGGATGAGAAGCGAAACATTTTCAAGAAAAAAAAAACAAGAACTCTTGGTTTTTTCCTTGAAAACATTTTGCTCCTTATCCAAGACGCTTCTTCAGTTCTTCTTCTCCTTCACTGAAGAAGAAGCTTCTTGGATGAGAAGTGAAACGTTTTTAAGGAAGAAAAACAACAACAACAACAAAGTCCAGTTGCCTTTTGGAAAAGCGTCTTTGGGACAAGCATGACCTGGATGATTGATAAGCCTCCATAGAAATTTGCCATTGAGAAGATGTTATTCCTAGCCAGTCCACGGTGACTCAAATCCTACACAGGGATCTTGAACAGAGGACCTCTGCTGCACCCCAAATAATCTTTGTTGGGTGGCATTGCTTAAAAGGATATCTTAAAAGTAGACAAAATCCTCCAGCGTTTCTAGAGATACAACGGGGTTCTTTCAAGAATGCATCAGAAGAATGATGTTTGAGGAGTTGATAAGCAAGACTTTGTCATTGGAGGTAGAAGGATGGGTCTCTGGTTGTCTCCCCAGGGTGGGCTCTGTTTCTCTCTCTGTGACCAATACTGAAAGCATACTCTTTAGGAAGTGAAGCCTAAACAGGAAGCAGAATTTAAAAGAACATGACGTGCCTTCATGGGTTGGACTGCCTTTGTTTTGCCCATCGTGGTCTTTAGGATGGAGCCAGAAATAATAAACGTAGACACTCGGCTCCAAAACAGAAAGGACGGAGGTCTACAGATCTCAGGCATCCATTTAGCAAAGTCGGACTTTGAGGCCAAAATACTTCCAAGGAGTATCCTCATTTTAAGACAGTTTTGGATAACCTTTCTAGAAGGCAGGAAGCTATCTATGGAGCACCACCATAGATTGAATGCCAAACTGTATAGGTGCATTCACTTTTATTGCCTGATATGTCACTTCTGTTATTTTTAGACAGCTTTCTCCCTCCCTCCCTCTCTCTTTCTCTTCCTCTCTCTCTTTGCAATGTCTCTTCCACTCTCAATGCTCTCTCGCTCTCTTCCAAATTTTGATTTCGCAAAGCATGGCAAACAAACAAAGCATCGTCATCAAGAAAAATAAGCAAAAAAACCCAAAACTGAACAAAGCAAAACAAACCAGAAATGACATAAGACCCAAGAAACACCATAAATGCATCTGTAGATATAAATACATTTGTTTTGAAGTTTCTCAGACATTTTCTTTCTCCGCCCTGTGAAAGAGTTTCTAGCTTGTTGAGTTGCTCTTTCTTAGTGGGGTATCCAAAATGACTTTATAGCTGGAGGTACTGGGAGATGTTACTTCGGGAGCTGCTTTGTGGTACTCAATGCTGACTTTCAAAATCTACCTGGGAACATTTCGTTATGATGTCTCCCCTTGGGGATTTGCATTGTGTATAAGACACACCTAAATTTTCATCCCCTTTTAGGGGGGAAAAAGGTGCGTCTTATACTCCGAAAAATACGGTACTCATACACCCAAAGTTGGAAAATGCTGGAATAGATCCAGGAATGCTAGAGGGCACAAGCCCTGGAAAGCTTCAGACTTACTCATAAAATTCAGCCGCGGGAGTATTCTTGAGCTTGGCGCTAACATTGAAGAATATAGAATTATTGACTTTGGGGTCTGTGCAGTTGGGGGTGTTCCAATGATTATTGCAATGAACCCAGGGAAGCTCCCCCATGGTGAAGGAGGCAAACAGGTAATAGAGAGACCAGGCAATGATAACGTTGTAGTAGAAGCCGACGTAGAGTGCTATGAGGATCACAGCATAGCCCACGCCTGAAGACGAAGGAAAAAGAGATTATACACAAAGTTGGTCACCGACCTTCATTGGGAATCAACTCATTCATAAGATCAAAGAAACATCACTGCTCTTTGTCCCCAGGCATAAATCTGACGCAGAGTTATTGTGGTTCGGTGTAAGGAACGGGATCTCTGCCGTACAGTATTGGTTCACATGGAAGAATTAAGAATCTGCTATTCTAAGTATAGCAATAGCCATAGCATTTAGACTTATCTCCTTGTTGTGGCCTGTCGGCCGCTGGCCCCTCCAGCAGCCGAATCAGAGGAGGGGGAGGAGCTGTGGGAGTCAGGGTCGGCATCAACCTGAGAGCTCCGAGGGGGAAGAGAGAATGGAGCTGGCAGAGAGAGAGAGAGAGAGAGAGAGAGAGAGAGAGAGAGAGAGAGAGAGAGAGAGAGAGAGAGAGAGAGAGAGAGAGAGAGAGAGGAGGAGCTGTCAGCCCTCAGATGGAGAGTCAACAGCTTCCAGGTCTGGAGGTGGCTGATGAAGAAGAGGAGGAACAGCTGGGTCCAGTGCCTGACACACGAATGCACAGAAGGCAGAGGAGAGGAGAGCAGCGGAAACCTATGGGCTGATCCTTGGGACGGAAGTGCCACTGCTGCTAGCAAAGCCCCACCCTAACTCTAGGGATAAAAGGCAGGGGGCGGAAATGAATAGATGTGGCAGACAACTATTCATTTTCCGGCCGGACAGACTTGTTAACCTGCAGTGAGAGAGAAACTTTTTGCCGGGGCTGCTGGCACTCCTGATAAAGGAATCTTTGAGTTAACTTCAGAGGGTTTGTCGTGTTTGGGGAGCTGGGACAGAATAGCCCCATGCCATCCCTCTGCCAAATGACTAATCCCTACAACACTGTCAAACTATCCAAAAAGGCAGTTACCATCATTATTCTCATCTTCCCTATTCCCTATCTCCTTTTCTTCTTATGACTATAGCTTGGTTGCTTGTATCTTACGATTTATATTGTTTACTTAGTAACCTAGTATGATTTATGTTGATTGCTTATTTAGTATCTATGACTATCATGAAGTCTTGTATCTAATGTTTTATGATAAATGTATTTTACAATGACTATGTTAATGTTGCCGCAATTGCTGTAGGTAGATTGAGAGCTTACGCGCCGGAAACAAATTCCTTGTGTGTCTAATCACACTTGGACAATAAAGAATTCTTTATACACCGCCTCACAGTGCTTTACAACCCACTCGAAGCGGTTTACAGAGTCAGTAAGTAGACTCGGGACTGTGGAAACCAAATATATAAATAAATGCTCTAGACTCTAGACTGTCTAGCCCTGATGATGTTACCTAATTGGGTCATGAAATGTCTGCAAGAAAACAACTAAGCTCAGAGAGCACCAAGGACCCCTCATCATCATCATCATCTTCTTCCTCCTCCTCCCCTCATCTTCCTCTTCTTCTTCCTCTTCCTCCTTCTCTAACTCCATTCCCTTCTAGCACTGATGATGTTCCCTAGTTGGGTCATGAAACGTTTGCAAGAAAATCTCCAAGGACACCAGAGTTCAATCCCGAGCTACAAATATTCTCTTCTTTATGGTACATAAATAAAGGCTCAGATCTCCTTCAACCCTGGCACAACCACTGACCAACAGCTGAAACATCCATGGTACCCCGAATAGGTTGAAGACTTTGGATTTACCTTTAAACAACGGGCAGATTTTCCATACGGTAGCAGCCCCTTCTCTATTATACTGGCCTAAAGCAAGTTCCATATAAAACAAAGGCATTCCTGCAATGATGAGGAAGAGGCTGTAAGGGATGAGGAAGGCACCTGGAAAGACAAAAATAAATACAGATGAAAGAACTGCTGGCTTGCATTCTTATGCATTAAAGTCCCCCCCCCCCCCCCCCCCCCCCGAAGAGGATTGCATTAAAGAATTTGCTTGGAGTTTCTTTGTTTCAGCTGTTTTTAAAGTCATCTTCGATCACAAAGAAGCAGCTGTTGCAGAAACATAGAAAAGAAGAGTATTCAGAACATCCTTGTTTCTTTTTTTCTAGACCTAGCCTCTTCATCATTCCCCACCACTACAAGATAAACTTTGGTAGCCTTCTCTCTCGATAGATTTCTGCTGTTATTGCAATATATGTGAGAAAGAAAAAGAAAAAGGAGGAGTAGGAGTAGGAGTAGGAGCAGGAGGAAAAAAGAAAGAAAGAAAGAAAGAAAGAAAGAAAGAAAGAAAGAAAGAAAGAAAGAAGAACAAAAGAAAGAAGGAAGGAAGGAAGGAAGGAAGAAAGGAAGGAGGAAGGGAAGGAAGGAAGGAAGGAAGGAAGGAAGGAAGGAAGGAAGGAAGGAGGGAAGTCCAAGTAGCAAACTCACCAGAACTATGGCTTAAAAAACTCTTTGCCCATTAATTGTCATTTCCATCAGTCTATTAATGGAAACAGGCAAAACTGTTACTGTTATAGACAGTATAGAGTATCTAGAGTTATAGAGTATCTAGTATCTACAAAAATACTAGAGCAACAGGATGTGCTAACATCAGGGTGAGGGAATGAAGGATCTTTTGTGGCTGTAGGTCACATGTCCCAGGTTGGCTGAGGACAACGATATGGATTGGAGTGAGCCATCCGCAGACTGAAGGCATTCTCTGCAGATATGACTGCCGGCGGAAAACCTGCCACTTTCCACAGGTATCCCCTTAAGCTGCTGCAGCACCAGAAGTTCAAGATCTTACAAGCCAGTCCAAGATACTCCAAAGTCAGATCAGATTATCCTTGTTTCCCAGTTCTCTTCCTCAATCCAAGTACAAACTCAGCGTTGTCCTTTTCTGACTATTCAACGATCTGTTTGCTAAGCTCTGTGCACTCAGACAAAATTCAATTAAACGAGCAGTATTTCCAATGGAGGTTATAGGATATGAATTTTACTAAGCGTGTTCTTTCCCTCCCCTCTCTCTCTCTCTCTCCCTCCCTCCCTCCCTCCCCCCCTCTGCATTGGAGTGATAGCTCCAGAACTGAGCTGAGTAAATTCAGCAGCAGCATCCCTGTGAAACCAAATGCTTTCTCCCATCAGGATACAGCTAATTTAAATATCAAAGGGTAGCTACAGCTAATGGGAGATGTTCAAGTTCAAAGAAAATAAATCTGGAGAGATTTAACTCATTTGTACTGGAAGGAAGGAAGGAAGGAAGGAAGGAAGGAAGGAAGGAAGGAAGAAGGAAGGAAGGAAGGAAGGAAGGAAGGAAGGAAGGAAGGAAGGAAGGGGGGATGGATCAATGAATGGAGGCAGGGTGGGAGGAAGGAAGGAAGGAAGGAAAAAGGGAGGGAGGGAGGAAGAAAGGGAGGGAGGGAGGAAGGAAGGGAGGAAGGAAGGAAGGAAGGAAGGAAGGAAGGAAGGAAGGAAGGAAGGAAGGAAGGAAGGAAGGAAGGAAGGAAGTCTGCCGGATGTGTTCAAAAAAAGTCAAAGGAAGGAACAACCAGATGAAAACTCTAAGGAGGTATTGATGACCAACATGGCTTATTTATTTATTGAAAAAAATCTATCTCTTAAAGTTCTTTCCTGATTTTTATTCAAAAGGAGCAGACTTTTCCAGCTGAGGTTCAAAATAGCAATCCACTCTCAGGCTCCATGTTCAGAGGACCCAATAAGGTGGACTTGGTTGACCTCACAAAGACCAGATTAATATTTTGATGGGTGACCACCAAGATATTCCACTTTTGTTTTCCAGGTTTGGAAAGTATCAAGTAAAGAAAGTTCTGATCCACCATAATACCCCCCCAAAAAACCAATGTTGAGTTCCTAGAAAGAGTGCAGAGAAGAGCAACAAAGACGATCAGGGGTGTACAGGATGAGTTGAACAATGAACAGCTAAGGAAACTGGGTATGTTTAGCCTAAGGAAGAAAAGGATTAGAGGAGATCTGATAGCATCTTCCAATACTTGAGACGTTATCAAAGGGAACTGTTCCCTAAAGCATCTGAGGGCAAGACAAGAAGCAATGGAGAGAGATCCAGTCTGCAATGAAGGAGAAATTTCTGACAGGAAGAACAATTAGCCAGTGGAACAGCTTGTCTCGAGACCTTGTTGGGTGCTCCATCGCTGGAGGTTTTCAAAAATAAACTGGCCAACCATTTGTCCAGGGTGATACAAGGACTCCTGCGAGTGGCGCAGTGGCCTAGAGGCAGAGCTCTCGCCTCACAATCAGGACGCTGTGAGTTCGATCCTAGTTAGCAGCAGGTATTTCTCTCTCTGGCCACAAGGAGTAATTATCTGCTGCGAACTCTGCATTGGCAACAGGAAGGGCATCCGGCCAGTAAATACTCAGCTCCATTCATTTGCCTGGACTCCACCCTGATATAAGGGAATACAGGTCATTAAAAGATAAAAAAATATATATATATATATATAAGGACTCCTGTCTTGGACAGGGAGGATTGGAGTAGAAAACCTCCACGTTCCTTCCAACCCTCGGAACCTACATCTTTGAGACATCTGGTGTAGCAAGTGCAATGACTTAACGTTCCATTTCCCTTCCTTGATTCACCCTCAACCCTCCCTCCTACATTCCCCCGCCTTGGAAAAAGGCCTTGCAAAGATGCAAATGACACCCAGCTGCTTTACTTTGATCCTACAATCTCCCTCCTATGCTCTGCCCAGCGCTTCCTCCTCTTGTTTTTTCAAACCACGTGACTGGACATCAAAGCATTCATTTTGTGAGCCGTAACCTGAAAAGGCAAAACGGTGCACAGAGAGGGATTTTTCATCCACACCTCAACGTTTTGGAAGAAGCGCTCGGGGACCTCCAAAGAAAGATTTTAAAACCCCCACAAAAATGTATTTGTTCTTTCTCCAGTTTAGATATAGTGTGTATGTGTGTGTTTCTCCTGTGAAAAGAGAAGAGGCAGCTTTCAAGATTTCTGGCCATATTTTGGAAATCATTTCTTTAAAAAATAACCTTCGGACTAAGTTTTTCTTTTTAATCACAGGAATATGAATAAGGTGTATATATATATATAGCTATCTGAGTCTCCCAAGAGCAACACAGAGTTGCAGTTTGTCAGCACAAAAAAAGGCCCAGAAACTTATATATTATTATGTTATATATATATAACAATGGCTACCAACCTGCCTTCCATTGAGGACCTGTATACTGCACGAGTCAAAAAAGAGGCTGGGAAAATATCTACAGACCCATCACATCCTGGACATAAATTGTTTCAATTCCTATCCTCAAAATGACACTATAGAGCACTTCACACCAAGACAGCTAGATACAAGAACAGTTTTTTCCCGAATGCCATCACTCTGCTAAACAAAAAATTTCCTCAACACTGTCAAACTATTTACTAAGTTTGCATCACTATTAATCTTCTCATCGTTCCCACCTTCCATCTCCTCCCACTTATGACTGTATGACTGTAACTTTGTTGCTTGTATCCTTACGATTTATATTGATATTGTTTCCTGATTGCTTATTTGTACCCTATGACTATCATTAAGTGTTGTACCTTATGATTCTTGATGAATGTATCTTTTATTTTATGTACACTGAGAGCATATGCACCAAAGACAAATTCCTTGTGTGTCCAATCACACTTGGCCAATAAAAATTTTCTATTCTATTCTATTCTATTCTTCTATTCTATTCTATTCTATTCTATTCTATTCTATTCTATTCTATTCACATATATATATATCTGCTTTTAATCATGATCAATAGATCATAATTGCTCTGGGAAGGTGAAATTTGAATGCTTGGCTTCTAAGTGATGCTTCATATTTTTCTCACAGTTTTAAAAGAACATTGTCATGATCTGAAGCATCTCTTTTAACAGAGCAACCAAGTTGCTGAGTAGCTTGGACTTTTTCGATCGCTGGGTTCCTAAATAGTTATTTTTGCAAAAGATTGAGTGGTCCACCTTGTGGTCTGAAGCTATTCTTGATGCATATGTGTACACATACATGATGCATAAGGGTACACATACATGAAGAATATGGGTGTGTGTCAGACCTCAATTACATAAGAGTCAGGTTCAGTGAGAGCAAACCACGTCCATCCATTAGACCCCAATTAAGTAATAGGAGATTCGCCAGATGTTATGCAGTTGGCAAAACATCAGAAACAAATCCAGTTGTTTCAAGAGCCATCACCAGGTGCTCTCTACGACTCTAAAGCTGCCATCCAACTTTTGAGAACACAAATATCTTTTTCTGGCTACCAAGAAAAAACACACACACACACACACAAACACAGACACACAATCTGCATTTTTAGGTTTAGTTTCAAGGTTTGCACAGCTAATCAGTCAATGTGCATCTACCTTTTGCAAAGTTTTCAGAGCTAACTATCAACGTCTCAAATCTGTGTTCTGTTTCATTTGAGATCAATGCAGGGGTGAAATCCAGCAGGTTTTACCAGGTTCTGGAGAACCGGTAGCGGAAATTTTCAGTAGTTTGGAAAACCGGCAATTGCCACCTCTAGCTGGCCCCAGAGTGGAGTAGAAATGGAGATTTTGCAATATCCTTCCCCCAGGAATGGGGAGGGAATGGGGATTTTGTAGTATCCTTCCCCTGCCAAGCCCACCAAGCCACGCCCACAGAACCGGTAGTAAAAAAAATTGGATTTCACCACTGGATCAATGGTCCTTATTACATACTGTGCGTTCAATTATCACCAGGCAACTGGGCCACCCCAAGCACCATAAAATAAAAGCATTTTGTGCTGCCTAATCTTCTCTGGCAACAAGAGAGTTGCCAAGCTCTCTGTTCCACCAAGATGGACTGGCAGGTGCCCAGCAAGGCCTACAGATGGTGTCCCTCCAGGTAGCTTGTGGATGAGAGCATGTCAACAGTAGGTTCAATCCTCTAGAGATTGGCCTTGTCTCTGCTTGTGGTTTTCCAAAGACTTTCCCATCTTTGCCCTCCGTTGTCGTGAGGCTGTTGCCCTCATCCATCTCCAGACCATTTCTGGAACAAGTTTAAGAGACTACAAAGTGGCTCCAAAGTCCATGTCTCTCTTCAAGCTGGCATGATTTCAGTAGAACTTTAAAACTGGGTCATGGTTCATCTCACATTTCTTGGAGGTGAGGTCACATGACCTGGCTGGTGTTAATGTGATCAGAGGGTGTGGACCCCTCTGGTTGAACTGGAAGACATGGACTCAGAGATTCTTCCAATTTCATTAAATACATTCCATCTTCTTAAACAGTGGATCTCTAGGTGTTCTGCTCTGTTCTGTCCTTGAGCTTGGAAAGAAGGTGTTTCTTCAACTATGTGGGGGAGGTGATAGGCACAAAAGGAGCTCAGGTGAGAAAGTCCTCATGGAAATAAGATGTCTGGTTTCTCTCTCTCTCTCTCTCTGTCTGTCTGTCTGTCTCTCTCTCTCTCTCTCTGTCTCTGTCTCTCTCTCTCTCTCTCTCAATCTATCACTCTCTTTCTCTCAATCTTTTGCCCTCATTTAACTCATTTGTACTGGAAGGAAGGAAGGAAGGAAGGAAGGAAGGAAGGAAGGAAGGGGGGATGGATGAATGGAGGGAGGGTGGGAGGAAGGAAGGAAGGAAGGAAGGAAGGAAGGAAGGAAGGAAGGAAGAAAGAAAGTCTGCAGGATCCAAAATCCATGTCTCTCTTGAAGCTGGCATGATTTCAGTAGATCTCTCTTCTCTCCTCCCCCCTCCCCCATTTCTACCTCCTCCTTTTTGGGTGTCTTTCCATTTGCTCCTCTATTTCAACTTATTTTAACTCAGGAGGTATCCACATGTAGTATGGCAAGACCAACCCAGCAAAACCTGCGCAGAGTCTCAAAGTCAAACCAACCAACTCTAGATTTCCTGCAGAACCTGGATTGGGGAATGTCCTCCCCACTTGATAGTGACGCATCCAAAGGGTCTGGCTGAAAACCCAAAGGAGACAACCCATCACCTTTGTCCATCAACAGTAGCACTTCTACAAATCCCAACCAGAACATTTAGCAATGACTCAGAAAAGATGCCAAAGAAGGAAAGTCAGATTTAGCAATGCGGACATCGCTCTTTATACCAATTATTCATTCTGAAACAATTCAAGAAGAAGCTAACAACAGGCAAACTCCTTAGTAGGGACAAATCTATTGAGAAGCAATAGCCTACAATAGTGTACAATAGTGTACAATAGTGTACACATGTACAATAGTGCACATGTACAATAGTGTACACGAGATTTACTGTATATTATATGAGAACACAGGAAGGAACTTCAGAAGCTGTGCTACGAAACACCAGTCCATTTCATCTCTGGATTTTCTACATCAATAAATAAAATGTACTAAAACTTGAGGAGTTTTCAGACTGAAGTTTTCCCATAGTTTTCTCAGGAGAACATGAGATTTTTCTGGAGCCATTGTGGTGAACTACATCCCTCTATCTTCTACTACAGCTGTAGTAACTAGCAATAGTCCAGTTTCTTCTCAACCAAAGCCTCATCCCCAGCCTTTTTTAAAAAAAATACGTGTCTTAATTTTCCAAGTGGTTATGTACTTGAAAACAAAACTGGTTGCTTTATAACCTGGAACTCGGCAAGGTGTGTGTATGTGTGTCTTCGTTGCTGGAACCCAACTTTTCCCAAGCCAGCAATTTTGAAAACTCCCGAATTTTAGCCATGCTGGCTGGAAAACTTGAGAATTGCATCTGGATGGGCATTGTAGCCCATTTTCTGGAGTCATTATGCTCAGGGTGGCCTCAAAGAACTGCAGTGCTTTCTTAGAAAATGACTACCATGTTCCCTCCACAGGCGACAGTAGAGGGAAGCGCCTTTAAGCAGAGTCCAAATTCACAAAATTCATGCCAGATTACAATATGGAAGCAGTTAGGGTCCCCATCCTCCTTCCGTTTCCCTTCTGGGAGAAAGCTACTTTTGAACCCAGTTCAACATTTTGGGACAAAGAATCCGAAACAAACGTGGGATGCTTCTGTGGCCACCAAAGGAGAAGACCACCGAAAACGTGGACTGTACCAAAAGCAGAAAACAAATTAAAACACTACAAAAAGGGCGCACAAAGGAGTCCTACATGGGAGGGAAGAGCCCGAAGGACGGTTATTGGAGCTTCTATGCTCAGAAGCAGTCTATCACCATCTCCGGGTGCATTTCAAGAGCAGTCTAGCTGGCCAGGGCAGGAAGCGTAGTACAAAGATGGCCTTTGATCTGAGCTTGCAAAAGAAGCTGGGAAGAAATCAGAAATAAAGTCTAGCTGAACTTTTAAAACTTGTCCTGCTGAGATAGGTTATGAGTTTAGAGCTCTAGCAGACTAAAAGACCAAATCCTTATGGATGTTGTTGTTGTTGTTGTTGTTGTTTGTTGTTGTTGTTGTTGTTATTATTATTATTATTATTATTATTATTATTATTATTATTATTATTATTATTATTATTATTATTATTATATTATTATTGCAAGGTTCCTTCAAACCAGGGGTGCCATCTCTGGATCTCCAGCCCAGCCTCTCCAGAGGAGAGAAGTCCCAAATAGAAACTGTGACTTTGTAAAAAAAAAAAAAAAAAGCCTCCCTGTGTACCTTTCTCAAGGAGAGTGGGAACTGACTCCAGGTGTGCCAAACACACCCATACAATTACACCCCCACCCACCCCCGTCCTCCGAAACCAAGAAACACCAAGCGCCAAAAGGAAGCCGGATGGCCGTCTTCCCTCCGGCTTCCCTCCGGCTTCCCCACTGAAGTGGAGAGGATGGGATATACCGACAGGTTTTGGGTTGGGTGGGTGGGGAGGGCTGCAGATCAGGTCCCCCCCCCCACGCCCCACTCACATCGGATGAACTCGGGTGGTCTTCGGACTTACCTCCTCCGTTTTTGTAGCAGAGGTAAGGGAACCGCCAGACGTTGGCCAGATCCACCGAGAAGCCCACCACGGAGAGCAAGAAGTCGATCTTCTTGCCCCAAGTCTCGCGCTCCTGCAGAGGGGCGCCGGCGGGGCTGTACCCGGGACCGGCGTGCTCCAGGAGGTGGCTGCTGGTGTATTGCACCCCGTTCTGCTCCTTCACCAGCAAGAGCTCCACATCTTTCTTGGTCGGGGGAGACGGCGGCAGCGCAGAAGGCTCCTCCGCCTGGACCAGAGGTTTGATCATCTTCGCTCTGGAGGTGCGAGAGGGTGGAGTGGGGGTGGGGATGGGGCGGGGGAGGGAAGAGGAGGAAAAACTCAGCGGAGAAGAGCCGGCGAGGCGAGCGAAAAAAGCAGGAGCCGCTGCGCCCTTGGAGAGCCTCTTTCCAAGAGCGCAGCGCAAAGACGCGCCCGCCAAAGGGAGGAGGGCGCCGGGCCAGCAGAACCTCCGGGCCAGAGGAGCGTCCTCCGCCCCCTCCCTCCCTCCCTCCCCCCACCCCACACACTCCCATCCGCCTCCAGAGACCACCACCCGACCCCGGGGAGGGGGCTTTCCAGGGCGGTCGCTTCTTTTCCACCACCCTTTCCAAATAAAAAATAAAAAAAAAATCAAGAGGGAGCTGTCAAATTTAAATTTAACAACAGAGTTGGAAGGGACTTTAGAGGTTATCTAGTCCAACCCCCTGCTCTAGGTCCCCCTGGAGATCTGCCCTAGGGATTCGAAACCGCCAACCTTTCTGATTGACAAGCTCAGTGTCTTAGCCACTGAGCCACCTAGTCAGGCTTTTTCCTTCTCTTTTCTGTCTCTTTTCTTCTCCTCTCCTCTTAGCTGAGACAGAGGACCCTTCCGACTTGGGGGTGGGGGGGGAGAGAAGATGTTTGCGGAGGACGGAGTGGCGACGCCGCTGTCCCGGTCTAACTCACCCCCATCCCACCCACCCCTCGTTACTCCAATCTCAGCAGCATCTAGGACTCCCTAGGCCCGAAGGGGGCAAATGCGGCGGGTTCTAAGCGACCCCCACCCGTTGCTAGGTATTCATGGCAGTTCAAACTTCGACGCGCGGAACCGGGCAACTGCTTAGCGAGGGACGTCGTTTCCCAAAGGGATCCGAAAAGATTTCTGTCTCGTCCGGAGGAGAAACTCTGGGCCGGCTCTCGGAAGTCCGAGATTCTTTCTTGGATCCCGAATGGGCCGTTTCCATTTATATATACACCCCGGGGGTTCGGCCTCGCCTCCCTTTTAAAGCTAACCACTTCCAGCAGAAAAGTTGCCTGTTTCGACACAACGCGCCCCCCCGAAGCTCCCTGAGGTTCACGCTTCTGCTGTTCTGGGGCTGCATAAATAAATAATAGCAAAATAGACATTTCCTTTCGGGAAGAGCAACCGAAGGACAATCGAGGAAGGGCACAAATTGTGACAACGAAGCGGTCCCGGTTTTTTTAAAAAAAGTTTCAGAATCCGAATCAAAGGCAGACTTTTTGTCCAGGCGACTCGAGTTGTGTAAAACATTCTCCAGAGCTGCAGGAGGGGTGGAAAAACGCCTAATAGCAATCGGGATTTCTTTTTCAATGGGAGGGTTGTATGCCCAACTTGATGTAATCCGATTCATAATCTAGAATTTAGGTGTGGTTTTAAATCCCCTGTATGTTGGTGCTATAGTATGTTGGTGCTATTCTTTTCTCGCCTGGAAAGAATCACTTCTTGCAGAAATTCACAGAATGCCCAAACTTGTCATTCTATAATGCAGTAATTTCCCAAACTGAGCTGCAAACTGCCATTTACATGTTGTCGGTATATACAAGCCAGAAAACAATACAAGAACAGAACCCAAATGGCTCCAGATTCACCTGGATCGAGGGGCAAGAAACAGTGAAATCATGAAACCAACTTTACTGATACATTTTTTCTTTTTTCTTTTTTAAAAAAAGTGTATTCCTGCATTCCTTAAAAGTCAGTGTAGTCATGAGATTTGTTTTCTTTCTTCCTTTTTTTTAATCATCAGGTTTAATGACAGAAGGGAAAGCATTTTCCCCGCTATTTTTTTTTTAAGTTAAAGGTTATCTGAACAGCATCAATGTTTTGCCTTACCGAACAATAACCATGATCAACATTCAAGCATCACATCACTCCAAGGTTAGGTGTAAATCTTTTCCTTAGGCAAATATCTCTTACTTTGCTTTTGGGGTGATCAGAATGTGGTTTCGGATGCTACCCAGGTTTCATTTTGAAGTAAACCAATCTGAATTTCATTTTCTTTTCTTTCCTGTGACAGGCTGGCTAAAGTGTCTTTAGTAACCACACAAACACACACAGGTGTGCAATCCAGAAATGCCTAAGAGACTAAACAACTTGCAAACCCTTGTGTGAAATTATGACTAATTTCACCCAAGATTATAATTTTTTTTTTATAGAAATGTCGGCAGTCCCACTGGCTAGGAGGGGAAAACTGGTCCTCAATTGCTCACACCTGGGTGCAACACCCACCCAGAAACACCCCCATGCATGGTCTGTGGGGTTTCTGCCACCCTCTGATCTCTCCTGCCAGTTCTCGCTGAGAACCTTCTTGCTGGCATCACCAGCCAGCCACCCAAGATCTCAACTTGATCCCAACCTCACTTACCTTTCCTGATGATGCCAAAGAGAAGTCCTTACAAAGACTCACCGTTAGCCTGTTCCACTATTTCAGGAGATGCTAGAAAGATGGTCCATTCCCGCCCCCCCAGTTGAAGGTGGGGGTGGGTGGAAGGCAGAAAGCAGAAGGATGGCTGAAGTCCTTTCTGAATGATCTTCTTCCTCCTCCTCAGGACCAGGAAGACACTGTGGGCAAGGCACCGGAGAAGTGTTTTAAACCTCTCTCCATGATTGAATTACTGGATTGATAAAGCTTCACAGATGTCCTGCCCTGCAGCAAAGCTTCTTCCAAAGAAGGTTTTAGCCTAGAGTAGCTGGTTCTCTTCTCTGCTGCTCCTAAAGGCCAGAACATCTGATTTCCAAGGCAGGGAAAGAAGAAAGAAGAGGGGGAAGAAAAAAAAAAAACCTTGACTTCTAGACTTCTTGAATTCTTGCCTTGGTTTCTTTCGGTGAAGAGTAGATGGCTCTGCTTTGTTTCCTCCTGAGCTTCTGGGTGGGAGAACACCAGCAGGCTGGTAAATGTAATATCAGCTGCCCCCTCAAGGTACAAAGAGAGAGAGAGAGAGAAGTCCTCAATTGGATTTGCTCCCACCCCACCCCACCCCAAAGCAGGCTTAATCTTGAATCTGTCAGGACCAAATTGCACGTAATCGGGTTTGACAAGAGTTTCAATTGTTGGCTTATTTGCTTATTTACATTTAAGGAAAGAGATTCAAAGAGCGACCAACTTCCACCAACTCTGGGCACTTTTCCTAAGAAAAACCCAAGAGAATAAAAAAGTAAATAACATATGGTATGCATTCAGTCTGAGGGTCGGGGGGGGGGAGGGGAAAGGGGGTGGGGGAATCAAACAAAACAGAACCAAATCATACAGGAGAAAACTTTGTGCCCAATCTTCCAGGCAACCTGGGAGAAGATCCGGGACTTTAGAGACTTTCTAAGTATCTTCAGGGCAGGGCCTTTTGTTATTGTTCTTTCATTGATTGTTGTTAGCTGCTTCTTGTGAGATGGGTAGCCATATAAATGTGATAGATAGATAGATAGATAGATAGATAGATAGATAGATAGATAGATGATAGATAGATAGATAGATAGATAGATAGATAGATAGATAGATAGATGAGAGAGAAAGATGATGGATGGATGGATGGATGGATGGATGGATGGATGGATGGATGGATGGATGGTAAAAATATATGAATGATAGATAGATCATAGATAGATAGATAGATAGATAGATAGATAGATAGATAGATAGATGATAGATAGATGGATGGTGGGTAGGTAGGTGGGTAGGTAGGTGGGTGGGTGGATAAATAGATAGATAGACAGATGAGAGAGAAAGATGATGGATGGATGGATGGATGGATGGATGGATGGATGGATGGATGGATGGTAGAAAATATATGAATGATAGATAGATCATAGATAGATAGATAGATAGATGATAGATAGATAGATAGATAGATAGATAGATAGATAGATAGATAGATAGATAGATAGATGGATGATAAGTAGGTAGGTGGGTAGGTAGGTGGGTGGGTGGATAGATAGATAGATAGACAGATGAGAGAGAAAGATGATGGATGGATGGATGGATGGATGGATGGATGGATGGATGGATGGATGGATGGTAGAAATATATGAATGATAGATAGATCAGATAGATAGATAGATAGATAGATAGAAAGATAGATAGATAGATAGATAGATAGATAGATAGATAGATAGATAGATAGATAGATAGATGGATGATAAGTAGGTAGGTGGGTAGGTAGGTGGGTGGGTGGATAGATAGATAGATAGACAGATGAGAGAGAAAGATGATGGATGGATGGATGGATGGATGGATGGATGGATGGATGGATGGATGGATGTAGAAAATATATGAATGATAGATAGATCATAGATAGATAGATAGATAGATAGATAGATAGATAGATAGATAGATAGATAGATGATAAGTAGGTAGGTGGGTAGGTAGGTGGGTGGGTGGATAGATAGATAGATAGACAGATGAGAGAGAAAGATGATGGATGGATGGATGGATGGTAGAAAATATATGAATGATAGATAGATCATAGATAGATAGATAGATAGATAGATAGATAGATAGATAGATAGATAGATAGATAGATAGATGGATGATAGGTAGGTAGGTGGGTAGGTAGGTGGGTGGGTGGATAGATAGATAGATAGATAGATAGATAGATAGATAGATAGATAGATAAGAGAGAAAAAATGGATGGATGGATGGTAGAAAATAGATGAAATGATAAATGGATCAAAGATAAATAGATAGGTAGATAGATGATAGATGATGGATGATAGATAAAATCAATTCAAATCAATTCCTGTTACTTCAGAAACTAAAATTCCAGTTGGAGACCCCAACCCTGAACCGTCAGGAGTCGGAAGCCCTGTTGGATGCTGAATGATCCTCTGGATTAATTGAGGAGGATGGCAAAGAAAGGGTGGCGCGAACCAAGGCTCCATCTCTAAGCCTCCAGCTCCATAACTGACATCTTGGAAAGTGGTGCTCCCTTGGAGCACGTTGTGTGAGGACAGCCTGTTCCGCACGACACCAGCAGCCCCTTCTCTTACATCCCCTGCTTCACACTCGGCATTGAAAATGGAGGTAGGCCCCCACCAAATTCGTCCACCAAGTTAAGGCATCGTGCTTTACTAGAGGGACAATGCTAGCGGTTTTGCAAAGCTTCCTTTACAGAAAACCAACCTGGATGATTCACAGTGGTGCCAATGTTTTAATGTTCTATTTACCTCAGGGGTAAACCTCAGAATGTATCTGCCCTCAGTGTGGAAGGGATTGCCACTCTCGAATTGGCCTTTTTAGTCACACTAGGTTTTAGGACCTCTTTCCACAGCACGATACCATAGTCTTTTGAGACTGAAGGATGCCAATGACCTCAGGGGTGGGCTTCAAAAATTTTACCAAGGGGTTTTCTACCCAGTTGCTGGGTGGGCATGGCTACGGTGGGCGTGGCCTAGTTGGCCTCCTGCACCATGGCGGGGAGCAGGCGTTTTTGCCCTCCCCGGGCTCTGGAGGTTTTCCTTGAGCTTCCAAGAGGGTGAAAATGGCCCCTCCCAGGCGCCAGAGGCCCTCTGGAGGCCGGAAATGAACCCATTTCCAGTCTTTCTGAACTTCTGGTAGGCCCATTTTTTGCCCTCCCCAAGCTCTGGAGGCTTTCCTCGAATCTCTGGGAGGGCGAAAACAGCCTCTTGAGGCCCATTTCCAACCTTCCCAAAATTCCGGTAGGCCCGTTTTTCGCTGTCCCTGACCCTCTGCGCGTGCCCTGCACTTACCTGCATCCAAAACAGGCCGTGTGGAGACTCCTGGGAGAGGTGGAGTTGGGTGGGCGGGGCCAGCCAGGAGTGGGATTTGGGGGGTTTTCCAAACTGCACAGAATCTTAGCTAGAGGTTCTCCCGAACTCTGCGAGCCCCCAGCAGCCCACCCCTGATTTACCTGCATAGAATGGGAACAAGAGCCTTGGTAGTACAGGGGTTTAAGGCACCCTGTTATTAAGCTGGTTATTAAGACCAGCTGCCTGCAATTACTGCAGGGTTCGAATCTCGCCAAGGCTCAAGGTTGACTCAGCCTTCCATCCTTTCTAAGGTAGGTGAAATGAGGACCCAGTTGTGGGGGCAATAAGCTGACTTTGTATAAATATACAAAAGGATGAAGGCTATTGCTGAGCACATTGTAAGCCACCCTGAGTCTTCGGAGAAGGGCGGCATATAAATCAAATTTAAAAAAAAAAAAAAAAAGGATTTTTTAATTTTTCTAAGTCTTACAACAGCTCAGGGCTATTGCAGCGTCTCTTCGCTCTTTCTTCTCAGTGTTTCAAGGTTGACCACAATTTGGATGCGCATCATTATGATTCATCTTCCACCGCTTAGGAGAGATTGACAATTTGAGACTGCACAAAGAGTGCACAATTGCAAGGGAAATGGAGAGACCTTAATCTCTTGGCCAACTCACAAGTTACTTGGGTTTTTGTTTTTGTTTTTTTGTTTGTTTGTTTGTTTTTAGGTCGTCCTACCGCAATGCTTCTCCTCAAGAACATATTGATGATGAAATCCTTGGAAGTCTTCACAGAAGCATCCCGAAACTCAACCACAACCATTTCCTCCCCAATCTGCAACATGCTCTTTGTGTTTTGCACCTCTGCATCATGCTCGCTGCTTACTCGGACGAACGAGGTTGCAACGATTGAAAATGCTTCCGTAATGTTGGATGCTCAAAGGCTGAAAGATCAAATAAAATCCCAACAGGGAAACCGATCCAAGAAATCATTTTAATCTAACAAGACCTGCTGCATTGCTCTGCAAACATTAAATGCCAGGGGTGATAAAGTCAACTAGCTTTTGGCTAGAAAGGTAGCAGCTGTTTAAACACGGCTTCTTAAGAGTTAGAAGAAGCTTTAAAACGAACGAGACCCCCTTCATTCGATAGAAAGAGCACATGATAAGAAATGATGTTCCCTTGGGGTGGAATTGTTATCATTTGCGCCAAAACGAAAATCAGTTTAAAAAATAGATTTTTTTTCAAGGTTCCCTTGCACATCTGTGCTAGTCGTTCCCGACTCTAGGGGGCGGTGCTCATGTCCGTTTCAAAGCCGAAGAGCCAGCGCTGTCCAAAGACGTCTCCGTGGTCATGTGGCCGGCATGACTCAACGCCAAAGGCTCACGGAACGCTGTTACCTTCCCACCAAAGGTGGTCCCTATTTTTCTACTTGCATTTTTTTACGTGCTTTCAAACTGCTAGGTTGGCAGAAGCTGGGACAAGTAACGGGAGCTCACCCCGTTACGCGGCACTAGGGATTCGAACCGCTGAACTGCCGACCTTTTGATCGACAAGCTCAGTGTCTTAGCCACTGATTCACCACATCCCTTAGATTTTTTTTTTTAAAGATACTCCTTAACTCCTTTCCTTTATGCATCTGGAGTGGAACAGAAATGAGATCAGTGCTAAGATGCATGGACTTCCTTGCAAGCATCTGCAGTGGAGTATGAGCTATGCCAGAGGTGTCAAATTCAATTTCATTGAGGGCCACATCAGGGCTGTGGTTGACCTGGGGGGGGAGTGGGGGGCGTGGCTGACTGGGTGGGCATGGCCAGCTGGGGGGCGTGGCCAGCTTAATGCCACTCCCCAAACTGCTGGCATGTTTCCTCCTTGCATTGGATACACTGGGCCGAAGCTACGCAGGTAGACCAGGGCAGCCCTGTGGGCCGGATCTGACCCCATGGCGGCCTGGATGCGACCCATGTGCCTTGAATTTGACACTCCTGAGCTACGCAAAACTTTGGAGATTGGACTGAAACTTGGCCGAATTTCTAAATCAAACTGTATTTCTGAATTGAATCAGAAAGTTGAGCATGTTTGTCCTATTTAGA